ATGTCATCCTCTGGACTGGTATGTTATGTGATGTTATGTGGTGTAATTTGTCATGAAATTGTTATGTTGTGTTCTGGCATGTTCCGTCATGCTCCTGTTATCTTCTGTTATGTTCTGTTGTGTCATGTTGTGTTCTGTTGTGTTTGTCGTCGCTATGCTTTGCCGTCGTGCTATAGTATGCTCTGTGATGCTGTGTCATAATATGACATGTTATGTAATTGTGTGTTGCTTAATGATATGGTCTGGTATACTCGGTGATGCTATGATCGGGTCTACTTTGTCATGAAATGGCTATGTTCTGTTCTGCCATGGTATGTCATGCTCGTGTTCTGGTCTGTCATGTTATGTTGTGTCATGTTGTGTTCTGTCGTGTTCATCGTTGCTGTGTTCTGCTGGCGTGTTATGATATTTTATGTGATGCTGTGTCATGCTACGATCTGCTCTGTCAATGTGTGTTATGGTATGCTCGGCTTTGTTATGTCACGTTGTGTTCTGCCGTCTTTTGTTTTGTCATGTTCTGCTCTGGTATGTTCTGTGATATTATGCGATGATATACTTCTTCATGATACTGCTATGTTGTGTTCTGTCACGCTCATGTTTGCCATGTTCTGTTGTGTCATGTTGTGTTCTGTCGTGTTCGTCGAGGGCGCGAGGCAAGCTACCTGGGATCACAGGGACACATTGAATATTGGGGTCTTGCGGCAGCGGTATGCAATGCGGGGTTGGCTGGGCGCGATGCGGGGTACCCGGGATCACCGGGTCAGCTTGGGGTCTGGCGGCCGCGGTATGCAAGGTGGGATTGGCGGGGGGGCTTGTTCTTGAACACGGCCGAACCTAAAAGGTGTTTTTCGTTTTCGTTTTGTTTTCGTTTTCCCTCGCTGTGTCTTCAATCCATCTCTACCGCAAAACGGAGGCGAAACGAAAACGGCCCACGAAACCGCCAAAACACCGTTTAGGTCCAGCCCTGTTCGCGAAATCTAACAGCCACCACCTGTCGGGCGGAGAAGCCATCGGAGCATCATTCTGTTTGCCCGAGGCCTTGCGGCTGCAGACCGCCTCGGAGAAGCGGCGGAGCGTGGCCAAAGAGGCCCGCAGACGCGGCCCGCAGCTGCCCCAAGAGCCCCCAGGCGCAGCCCGAAGACTGCCACAGAGCTCTCCAAGAAGGCCCGAGATGGCTTCAACACCGAAGGAACAGGGTCGAACTTAGGACCGTGGCGAACTCAGATCGCGCTCTGAACGGGCGTGGGTATCAAGCTCAACCCTCCTGACTCGGCGCTGCCGCGCTGGCACGGTGGCGGGGCTTGCTGCGGGCAGCCGGAGAAAACAATCTAGCACACGATCGAAGACACAGAGGATCCGTCTCCTCTGCGGGCGCCGACGGGCTGCGAGGGTCAGGCTTCGGCAACTGGGTAGCTTGGCCTACACCAGCGCAGCGAGGCAGTTCGTGGCCTTGCAGTACATCCCCAGGCCTCCGAGCCACAGCACGCTGGTCTCCCGGGCTCTCCAGTCGCCAGGCTCTCCAGGCATGGGCGCTGCTCGTTTCTCCATGGGGGCGAAGCGCCAACCTTCTGAAGGCAGACGCGCGCGACCTCCACCTCGGCGGAGGAGGAAACGCTCAATTCCTGAAGGCAGACGCGCGCGACCTCCACCTCCCCGAGCGGAGAACCCGCACCTCCGAGTCACGCCCGCCGACCTTCGGGGCGCCCTTGGGCACACACACGCGCACTCACATGCACGGGGCCTGGGCCTTCGAGGCCGCGGCCGTGTGACAACACCCACTCGGCCCGCGCCCTCGAAGCCACGGTCCTGGAGCGGCAACCGTGGGCCCGTGCCGTCGAGGCCAAAGTCCTCTCTAGCAACACCGAAGGGGCCCTGGGACACACCAATACATGCACACACATAAAAAGGATTCCCCATACTTCCCCATATGTTCTGGGTTTTTGTCTTCCCCCCACTTCCCATATTTTCCTATATTTTCCTGGGGATCGACGATTACTTGTGTCTGTGTGTTTGTCCCCTCCTGAAACACGTGGGTCCGTGCCTTCGGGCCACGCTCTGCCAGAGCACGCCAAAACAACTTGGCTCCTCAAGCTGCGATACATCGCAAAAAGCACGGGTCCGCGCCTGCGAGGCCACGGCCCCCGTGTATCCGAAACAACTGGCCAGAACCCCCCCGAGGCGAGGACCCTTGGTGAACACATGTACCCGCGCCCTGGAGGGCCCGACCCACAATAACAGACTATTGGTCTGCGCTCGCGAGGCGTTGGTCCTGTATGGGCAGGAAAGAACAAGATGGGCCGTTCTGCTGGAGCAGCGTTACCTGGTAAACCATGTTCGCCAGCGTGGACCCCAAGTAGTGCGTTACTGCAGGCGAACGATACGTTCTGCAATCTATGTGATGCGCGCCATGTTGGGTACACTTTGCGGTGCGGGGCTACGTGGTGCCAATATGTAGTGTAAGCGATGTGATGCACTATCGGTTGGGTTCACGATGTGGTGTCACACACACGCACCTGTTTATGGTGTGAGCTATGAGGTGTGAGCAACGTGGTGCCAATATGTAGTGTAAGCGATGTGATGCACTATCGGTTGGGTTCACGATGTGGTGCCACACACACACACCTGTTTATGGTGTGAGCTATGAGGTGTGAGCAACGTGTTGTCATCTAAATGGTGTGAACTATGCTTAGAAATCTACGTCGTGTAAGCTGTGTTGCAAGCTGTTGTGTGAGCTATGCGGTACGAGCTATGTTTTGCAAGCTATGTGGTGCAAGCCATGTGTAGTGTAAGCGCCCGTGGCGCCTACGAGCAGGCACGGGCGCCAACGCGGCGAATCCTCGGGAAACCCACCCGACACACAAATCCCCCACGGGGCGCACACGAGCGACCACGGGCGACAGCGCGGCGGATCCTCGGGAGGCCCACCCAACGCACGGGGTGTCCACGAGGCGTCCACCAGCGCGCACGGGCGCCAACGAGGCGAAACCTGGGGAAAACCACCCAACGCACGGGGCCCCCAGAAGGCGCCCACGAGAGGGCACGGGCGCCAACGAGGCGAAAGCTCGGGAAACACATCCAATTTCTCAAGACCGCCACGTCGACACCCCTGAGTGCAGACACTGCTTGGGGAACAACAGGCCGGCGCTCTCGAGGCCGCGACCCTAAATAAAGCACCAATGGATTTGCGCTCTGAGTCCACCAGCCACCCGGCCAGCTTTCCCATCACCAAGCCTGCGGACCAGCCCTTCGGTCAACCAACTGGCCAGCCACCCCTCTGAGCATACATCCAGACAGCGAGCCAATCAGCCGAGCTGCCAGCCTGCCAGCCAATCAGCCAACCAAGCTCATCGGCCAAACCATGGAAGCAATCAGTGGCTTGTGGGTGGGTGGGACAGTGGCATACGGGCGAAGCTATTCAGATACATAAGATCGTTCAGGCGACCATGCGATCTGCGACCCAGCGTGTGACCAACATTGACCTTACACGCACATTTTCAATGAGACGGTGAAGAACCACGCCACGTGGCGCACGGCACGAGGTGACAACTTATGGCACGCCGACGTGCGACACGCAATGTTGTAAACAATTCAACAACCCATGGCAAGCGAATACTGGATAAGTGCTCGGCAATCGGATACGCACTGTTCTTCAGTGTAGACCGGATTCGGATACCATGCAACCTGAAGATGCAGTATGCTATGATTCAACATGGGGGGCCACATGCGTTTAGTAGATGTACACAAAGAATATCTATATATACATATAGATATAGCAATACACAATTATTCACTCTTGAGTGCGATGCCCATGCACAAGAAAATACATTACTGAGTGCGACAATCCGCCATCGCGCCTTGAGCACGTAGTGGAGTGCCCCAAAGTTCATGCAATTGTGAATTGTATAGTGACTGGTTCCGAAGCGGACCGAACACCCGTTTTGCAGGAATCATTGGGCGCTGCCGGGGCTCTCGAGAACGGGCACGTGAGCTTCCAAGATGTACCACACTGCAGCAACTGTGAACCGGCATGCAAGCATGAATCACCTTCGCAACCCACTTTCATTTAGCGGCCACGGGCTGTCCTTGTGGGTGGACGCCAGCATGGTGTATATTTGTGCTCGATGTGCTACTTGACGCATTATGTGCCGATGCACTCCCGCACATGGACACATAATGCCCAAATTGAGTATCAAGGAGGACGCGGTGCACGCAACATCGCATCTTCGGCTTCGGCTTCCAGGTCGAACGAGCCTGCCGTCACTTAGTAGGGAAAGGGGGGATCACGAGGATGAGGGGAAGGATAGGAGTTGCATGCCCAAGAACGGAGACTGGAGACTGCGCCTGGATCGTGGGAACGGCCCTACGCGGGGCAAGGCAGTCGCCCGGGGGTGCTGGCATCAATCGAACAGTGGAGAACATACACTGGCCGACTCAATCGGTATTCGATGGCTTTGTTGCTGTTGGTCGTCCGGGGCGGGACACGTGCGATTCTTCCGTGTCTGCCCATCGGGCAAACTACGGTGCAACTGATTCCCATGCCTGTGCGCAAACACAACCAACAACAATTGCTACCTCGTCAAACCACCGTGTGTACGGTCGCTGTGGCTAGCATTTGGAATTCCCTTGTGTAGATAATGGGTCCCGCATCATAGCCTTGATGCTCTCTTTGCCTGCATCGTCGTGAACCGCGCCAACAAGAGACCTCCACTGCTCTGCCGTGTTCACTTGGTCTTCGTCCCCAAACTCGCATGTCCTAGACTGGCGAAATCATCTTGAATTAAACGAGCCTATACGACACCAGACAACTGTTCTCTAATCTCTCAATTCTACGCGCGATTAAGTAAGCGTGTTCGTCATCCAGGCTGATCGTCGTAATCGCAGCGCCGCGCCCGAAACAGCGATGCTTCTGATGCGAATCTGGCCAGAGTGACTTCACACCGACTCCGAAACACAGGGGAGAAGGAGAAGGACATGGTACGGAGGAGGATGAAGAGGGTGTCCTTACGTTCCACAAAGACGCCGAGCTGCTTCAGCTTGTCAATGAGCCTAGTCAAGAGGAACACGCGGAGGACGAGAGGTGGGGAGATTCTCGAGCAGCACGGGAAGGTGCTGAGGAGCAGGAGTGCGAAACAGATGGTCAGGATACAAAGGAGGACCGACAAATTAACAGCCCGCAGAGAGAGGGGGGGAGGAGCAGGCGGAGGATGAGGAGACAGAAGAGGAAACGAAGCATCAGGAGGGAGAATCAACGGCACAGGAGGTGGAAAGGGACGAGCGCACGCACCTCGAGGGTGGAAGCGGAGAAAGAGCGGATCGAATCGGGTTTGTGGAGTTCGCGTGTCAACTCGGCTCATGCAGCTTGAAACCCTGAATCCTCGCTACAAGGAGGATGATAAGGTGGACTGCATTTTTCCACATCCTCTTCCCATCTTCGTCCTCCAATTTTGTTTGTCCTCTCTCTCTCTCCTTCTGGCTCTCTCTCTCTCTCTCTCTCCCTCTCTCTCGCTCTGCTCCTCCTCCTCCTCCTCCTCCTCCTCCTCCTCTCGTACCTCCGCGTCTCTCTCCCCTCCCTGCGCCCTCAATTCTAACCCTCTTCTGGAGAAAGGGCCTCTCTATGAAGTCGGGGCTGTGCGCCCGGAGGGCGCCGAAGGCACCGTGAGCCGCGGCGGCGGCCGACAAGTTCTTGGCGCGTCCTGCGCTTGCGACGGGCATCCGAGACGGCGACGACGACGACGGCGACGACACAGGTGACGACGACAACGCCTCCTGCTCCTCCTCCGACGACGACGACGGCGACGCCATAGATGACGACGACGACGAAATCGACGACGACGGCGACGCAAACGACGACGACGACGACGACGAGGGCGACGACGAGGACGACATCGAGGACGACGGCGAGGACGAACGACGACGAGTCGGAGCAGAGAGCTCCTCCTACCTGCTCCCCACTGCCGTCTCGCCCGCGGTAGCCGGGGAGGCAAGGCTGGCTGCGCGCAAAACGAGGGAGGAGGAGGGTGGGTGGCTTTCTGGGAAGGCATGTTCCTGGGGCTCCTTGACGGAACCAGGGGCTCCTGAGACGACTTCCGAAAGGCAGGAGCCACTTCTTAGATTGCCACCCCTTGGCCCCGCCCCCGTGCGCGCCGCGCAAAGCAACGGAAACAGGGAGAGCGAGAGAGAAAGAGAGAGGCAGAGAGATAGCGGGGGAGAGACAACGAGAGAGAGAGAGAGCGAGAGAAAGAGAGATAGAGAGAGAGAGAATTAACCATAACTAGAAACAGAGAGAGAGAACACGAGAGAGAGAGAGAGCGATAACGAGAACAAGAGGAAGAGAGAGAGAGAGAGAGAAAACGATGCACATTTGTACATCTGTATTCAGAAACGTTTGTATACACATAATGAGAGACATCGAGGGATGGCGTGATATGTGTTTATATACATAGAAAGAGAGAGAGAGAGAGAGAGAGAGAGAGAGAGAACGAGAGCGAGAGAGAAGCATAAACAGTGAGAGAGATAGAGAGCGAACGATAATTAGTTAAATATATAGAGCTATAAAAGTGAGATATCGAGCAAACGATCCATAGCTGTATACGGATTTATAAATATAACCGGGCCGACACATATACACATATAGATGCCACGATCGATATCTATATACACATCTATATACATGTGATGCATCTAATACATGACATAAGCGTACATGCATAACGATATACATTCATATAATACATCGAGAGACGTATAAGTAGAGAGAGAGGGAACATCTATAAACGTAGATAAAGGAAGGGATCTATCGGAGGTTGGGGGGTGAGATGGAAGTGGAACGGAGAGCCCCCCTACCGGGAAATCGATTTCGGTTTCGTGTTCGTGCCGCGCGTGCGGGCGAGGCGAAGCTGCGCGGGCGGGGGAGAGGAGATTCTCCTGTGGCTGGGCCGCGGCTGGACCAAAAAGTTCTCCGCCCGGCAACCGGTGGCGCGCGGTGTCCCGCCGGTGTCCCGCTGGTGTCCCGTTGGTATCCCGCCGGTGTCCCGTGGTGGCTGGGTCGCGGCCGGACCAAAAGGTTCTCCGCCCGGCAACCGGTGGCGCGCGGTGTCCCGCCGGTGTCCCGCTGGTGTCCCGCTGTTGTCCCGCCGGTGTCCCGTCGTTGTCCCGTGGTGTCCCGTGGTGAGATCGACAGTGCGATAATGAGATTGATAGTGAAACCGATAGTGAGGTCGATAGTGAGATCTATAGTGGGCGATCGATAGTGAGATCTATAGTGAGATCGGTCGTGATATCGATAGTGAGATCGATAGTGAGATCAACCGAGTGGGATCGATAGCGAGATCGATATTGGAATCGATAGTGAGATGAACAGTGAGATCGAAAGCGAGATCGATAGTGAGATCGATAGCGAGATCGATAGTGGGATCGATAGTTGGATGGATAGTGAGATCGACAATGATATCGATTGTGTCCCGTCGGTGTCCAATCGGTGTCCCGTCGGGTTCCCGTGGTTCCACGTGCTGATATCGATAGTGGTATCGATAATGAGATCGATCGTTAAATCGATGGGACCGATAGTGAGAACGATCGTGAGATCGATCGAATGATCGATACTGAGATCGACTGTCAGATCTATAGTGAGATCGATGTTGAGGCTCTTAACACCAAGGCTCTCAAGAATGAAGGGTGCCATGAACCATCTCGGGCAACTTTCCTCCTCCTCCTTCTCCACGCGGCTCGAGGTGCCCTGGGGGGCACCAGCTGGGCCCTCGCCTCTCTGGAACCATCGCGCCACGCTGACGCCCTCAAGTGGCAGGGGCGCGCACGCGGGCTCATGGCTCCCGTTGACAAGATGCCGAAGTCAGAGCTCATGCGGTGGTTCCCGGGGGAGGGGGGGAGGGGGGGGGAATGGTACCAAGGCGCCCAAGAGCGAAAGGTGACGTAAACAACTCGACACCAAGGCTCCCAAGAGCGAGCGGCAACGCAACGATCTCCACTGGCATCGTCAGAACAATAATCACCACTGTTGCCCATTTCTGGTCCCCTCCCCCCAACCTCCTTATCACCCGCAGTGTGGTCGTATAGGTACATACATGTATGTATCTATATGTATATATGGATCTGTATATGTGTGTACATTCGTAGCTATATATACATATGCATAAAGAGAAAAGGGAGAGAAAGAGAGAGAGAGAGAGAGAGAACGAGACAGAGACACAGAGACAGAGAGAGAGTGCGAAAACAGAGAGACAGAGAGAGAGAGAGCGAAAACAGAGAGAGAGAGAGATATAAATCAATGAACAAATAAATAAATGGATACACATCCGTACCTGCATCGATCCTGCCGCCGCTGGGCCGCCTTCGTGCGGGCTCGCGGCGAGCCCCCGATGGCGCCAGCGCTGGCCGCGCGCCTCTGCAGGGCCGCGGCGGCGGCGGCGCCCGAGGCCGAGCCTCGGGCCAGCCTCTGAGGCCCCCCGCGGCAGCCGAGCCACCTGCTGGGCGCTGCTGCCCCGCGCCTCGGCGGCGCCGCGGCGGCGCCGCGGCGGCGCCGCGGCAGGGCGAGGGCCGCGGAGGAGCCTCCTGGCGGCCCACGGCGGAGGCCCGAGGACGGCGGAGGGTGCCGCCGGCTGCTCTGGGGCTCGCGGCCGCGGCCCCCGCAGGTGCCCCTCCGAGCTCGGCGGCGGAGGCCCTGGGCTGATGGCGCGGTGGGCGGCGGCCCGTGCCACGCGGCGGCGGCCCACTGTCAGGGGCGGCTCGCGGCCCGGAGCGAGAAGCCCGAGCACCCGCTCGACAACCACGCGGCGTTCGTCGCGGCGGCTGGGGCGGAGGCGCTCCCCGCGGAGCGCCGGGAGTTGTAGGGGCCGCCCTTCAACCTCGCGCTCATGGCGGCGCATGGTCGCGGCCGCTGCCGGCCCTCGGCTTCCTCGTCGCCGGGTGCAGTCCTCTCCGAGGCTGGCCGCCCCTCGGCGCAGGGGGCGAGGCTGCACCTGGGGCGCCGGCCTCAGGGTGCGGCCCCGCAGCTCTGCTCGGCGCTACCCGCTGCGAGGTTTGCCTTCCCCTCGGCGTAATGGTGGCGAGGCAGCGCCTCGGGCGCCGGCCTCAGAAGGCGGCCCAGCGTGGCGTCGGCCCCAGGGTACGGCTCAAGGTATAGGCGAGGGGCGGCCCGTGCCTCGTCCGCGGCCGCGCGCGGCGGCCAGCGCGGGCGGACTTGGAGCTCGCCGCGGTGTGCTGTCTTCGCGGCGGGCCAGGGGAGGTGCCAGGGAAAGAGAGAGAGAGAGAGAGAGGGAGAGAGCGCCCCAGGCTGGGGAGTCCTCAAGAGACGGGGCGCTTTAGGCCCGCCGCGCAGGGCCAGGATGGGTAGGGGGAGGAGGTAGGATGATGAAAACGATGGTGGTGGTGATGGTGAGGGAGGTGGGGGTGGAAGATGAGGGAATAACGCGCAGGAGAAAGAAGAGGAGGATGAGTTTGTGTATGGCGAAGTAGACTTTACTCTGGCGCCTGCAATACCACGCTTCCGATTATTTCCAATGGAGTGGGCCATTCTCTGCTTTACCTCACTGTACCCTCTGACCTTTCTTGGACCTCTATGTGGCTGTAAACGTTTTACTGCAAATCTGTTTTACCTGAGGCCGATGGATAGTACATGCGCCCCCTCCTTCTCCCTTCGCTCCCCCCACCCATCCCTCATTGCCTCATTATTCTCTGATCTCCTCGTACCCCCTTCCCTCCTCCCTCCCTCCCTCCTCCTTCGGCCCTGGGGCACCCGAGTGAGTCCCCACCCACGTCGCGCAGGGGGACCCCCAGGTATTGGGGTTCAGGTTGAGGGTCCTGCCTCGACCACCGCCTGGGCCAGGTCTCTCTACGGTCTGGCCCAAGTGGCGCTCCTGGCCTGCATGGCGGAGCAGATGCACCTGCGCCCGAGGATCGAGAAAACATCAGCGCAATGATAAGGGATGGGAAGGGGGGGGATCGGCCGTCAAATATGACGCGAACGCACCGGGCTTGCTTCACTCTCCTCTCCCTCCTCCCTCCTCCGTCCTCGCTTGTTTGCTGGTCTATTTGCCTTCTTGCCCCATCTGGCCCAATTCGCTCCGCCCGCGGTCGCCGCAACTGCCGTCAAGCTCCGTCCGCCGTCGTTGCCGCCGCCGCCGTCGCCGCCGCCGCTGGAGGCCCCCAGAGGCCCCCAGAAGTCGCCTGAGGCCTCTGGACGTCCCTGGAGCCCGCGGAGGCGCCTGGAAACCTCCGAAGGTCCAGAGATGGCCAGCAGCCGTCCGAAAGCCTCGTCCCTCGACGGGTCCTGTGGCCTCTGGCAGCCGCTTGCCCTTGGCGGCATCGCGCAGCTTCGCCGCCGTGAGGCCATGCTCCTGGAGCGCCGCAGCCAGGGCCAGCAGCTGCTGGGCCTCCGCCACTGGGGCTCGGTTCCTTCACGTCGTCGACGTCGTCGCCGCCGTCGGCGTCGGCATCGCCGCCCCCCTCGGGAGTCCCAATACGTGCAACCAACGTGGGGGGGGGGGGGGAGACGGGGAGGGAGAGAGGTAGGGAAGGACGAAGAGGAGTAAGGATGGAGGAGGAGGAGGAGGAGCAGGAGGAGGAGGAGGAAGAGGAGGAGGAGGAGGAGGAGGAGGACCAGTGTAAACCCAAGAGTCATCAACGATGTTGGAATTCACCCTCCCTCCAAGCTCCCTCTTCATAGGCCCCATATAACGCTTCATTTCCATGGAGGGAGCTGCCTCGTTGGAAGACGACCGTTTGAAGACTCTGAAGCATGCCAAAACATTGTTCCCGGGATTTCAAAGCCACGGATCAACCTGACTGCTGCGTCTTGACGATCTGGAATCGTGCCAGAACGCCGTTTTTGGGACTTCAGAACCGCGAACCAACATAACTGTTGCACCCGCATAATCCTGAACCCTTCCAAAACACTACTTCTGGTACGTTGGTCATGGGAATCCGTGAAACTCTTGGAACATGTTGAAAACGAATGTGCGAGGCGCGAAGGCGAGAACCACATTTTGAAAACCAACCGCCCTCAATCAGCGAAATTCTTCCAATTGTTTTAGACGAGTGTGCGGGGCGCTTAGGCGGGAATCACATTTTGAAAACCACTCGCCCTCAATCCGTGAAATTCTTGCAAATGCTGAAAACGAATGTGCGCGGCTCGAAGGCGAGAGCCACATTTTGAAAACCACCCGCCCTCAATATGTGAAGACCTTGCACATGCTGAAAACAAATGTGCGGCGCTAGGGCGAGAGCCACATTTTGAAAACCAACCGCCCTCAATCCGTGAATCTCGTGCACATGTTGCAAACGAATGTGCGCGGCGCTGAGGCGGGAACCACATTTCGAAAACCAACCGCCCTCAATCCGTACAACTTTTGGCATATTTTAACGAATGTGCGCGGGGCTGAGGCGAGAGCCACATTTTGAAAAACACCCGCCCTCAATATGTGAAGCTCTTGCAAATGCTGAAAACGAATGTGCGCGGCGCTAAGGCGAGAGCCACATTTTGAAAACCACCCGCCCTCCATCTGTGAAGCTGTTGCCACTTCTTAAGCTTCAGAATCATAAACGGTGAGGGAGTCTCAGGCGAGCCGCCTGGCCCGCCCTAAAAAACTGGCCTCGGGGTGCGGCAGGGAGAACTTATTTATAAGGAAAAGGAATGGAGGAGGAGGAGGAGAAGAAGGAGGAGGAGGAGGAGAAGGAGGAGGAAGAGGAGAGGCGCCGGACAGGGAGGACATCGCTCCAGCTGCCCACCCGCAAGGGCCCGAGCCGCCAGCGTTTTCGTCGTGCTGCTGCTGCTCCTCGGGCCTCAGCCTCTTCCCCGTCGGGCCTGCTGCCCAGAGTCCAATGGCGGCCCCCCTGGGGCGCCCGATGAGATACGACACTGGCGCCCTCGCGCGCCGGCGGGAGGCAGACGTTCGTGGGGATTCCCCTCCTCCACCACCGTGCGTCCTCCCCCTTTCTATCCCGATGTTCTGCTCGGCATCTGGATGCCTTCTGTCCTGGATGCTGTTGTCCTGCGTGAGAGGTACACCAGCGACCTCCTTCCCCTCCGGGAGTGCCAGGACTGCTGTTGCTCGGACCTGCTCCCCCCTTCCTCCCCGCCTCCTCCTCGTGCCCTTCCTCTCCTCTCCCTGCTGCTGCTCCTGTTCTATGCCTCCTTTTGGACGTCGCACAGACATGGATCAGAGATCGTTGTTCTTCCCCTCCTCTTCCTCCTGCTCCTGCGAGCCTCCTCCCCCTCCTGATGCTTAGGACCTGCTCCCGCTCCTTCATCCCCCTCCCCCCTCCCTGATCACCCCTCTCCTCTTCCCTCCCGGTTGCTCGGCTCCTCTGCTTCCCGCCGGAGGAGGAAGAGGAGAAGGAGGAGGAGGAGGAGGAGGAGGAGGAGGCCTCCTCCTCTTCCTCCCCCCCCCCTCCTCCTCCACCTTCTCCTCAGCCCCTGTCCTAGAACGGCGGCGATGACGACGACCAGGACGACGACGACGACAAACAAAGGCGACGGCAGCTTTGGTAAGACCAGGCGGCCGCTCCAGGCCTCGACGGTCAGATCCTGCCAGAGCGCGCGCACTCCCTCTCCTGCCCCCCCCTCTCTCTGCATGTTTATCCCTCTCTCCCTGCTTCTATCTTTCCCTCTCTCCATCTCACATACCCTCTCTCTCTCACGCACAAATCCTACATTCGCCTAAATATCTCTCCATATATACGTATATCTCACTTTCCCCTCCCTCTCTCGCTCACGCACACCCACAGACACTCTCTGTCTCTCTCCTTTTTTGTTTCTCTCTCTCTCTCTCGCTTTCTCACCCCTCCGTCTCTGTTGCTCTCTCTCTCTCTCTCTCTCTTTCTGTTGTCCTTCCCCTCCCGGGGACACGGAGGGGCAGCCAGCCCTTCCGCGGCAGCGGAGCCCCACAAGGGGGATGGCCGGCCGCGGCTGGCGTGCGCAGACGGCCGCGGCGCCGCGGGCGGCGCGGCTGCCCCGCGTCGGCCCGGGCCGTGGAGGGGGGGAGGACGCAGCACGGCCGAGAAGGGTTCGACCTTTCGACGCCTCAGGAGGCAACTGCTGGGAGGCTCTCGTCGGAAAGAGTAAAGAAGATCAAGCCCCATCTGGGAGCTGTTAGGGCCGGAAAGGGCCTCGGACTAATATGCGGGATTCGGCGGGATCGAGCCGGATCAAGCGGGATTCCGCCGGATTACACCGGATTTCGGGCCAGGGCGAAAACAGAATTTGACCTCCCAGGAGTTGCATCCGAAGAGGCCGTCTAAGTGAGCATCGCCGATGCATCGTCGACGTGGGCGATGCATCGGCGACGTCGACGTGGAGCACATCGGGCTCCGTATCGAGCCGCATTGCCGATGCGTCAGCGATGCGGCGCGATCCTCCGACCCTATCTGGGAGGCAGAGACCTGGTGCTCGCCAGGGCTTGAGCCAAACTGTGTTTCTCGTTTTCGTGCCGTTTTCGTTCTCCTTCGTGCTGGCTTCGTTCTGCCCTGTGCTGCGAAACGGAATCGAAACGAAAACGGTCCACGACATCTCGCCGAAACACCGTTTCGCTCGAGCCCTGGTTCTCGCGTGCAGAGGAGGCGGGCTGCGCGGGCAGCAGGGGGTCGGGCGGGCTCCTCCACCTGCGCGCCACGAGGAGGAGAAGGGAGGAAAGGTGAGGGACAAGTACTGGGAACTAGGGGGCCCACGTACGCTGTCCTCCAGCGTGCTGTTGAATGCAGCCGGCGGGTCCGAACGCACCAGACGGCACGCTCAAATACGTACATTGGCCACCCGACGTGGAAGCGTGGGCAAAGCTGGACGGCCGACCGCCGAGCAGCAGCGCCACACGGACGCAGTGATGAACGGGGGCAGACGAGCGCGTTCCACCACTCGCAGAGTAACTACCCTCAAATAGCCTGGATCCCCCGCGGGGGATCTACGACAAACTGCATCAAAACAGCCATGTGTGCGTTCGGACGCTTGCGGGTAGGCACCTTACGAGCAGTGGACGCTTGGGGGGGCACGCCACACCTCTTGGCCAGCGGAACACGGCGGACGCCAGCGCGGTCGCTCGGCCGGCGGAGAGGGGGGCACGCGGGGAGAGGCTGCATGGACGAGCGCGCTCCACTGCTCGCAGAGTAACTGCTCGCAGATGGCCTGGATCCCCCGCGGAGGATCTACGATAAACTATATCAATAGGGGGAAAACAAACCTACCTCGCTTTTGACCACCCTCGCTTCCAAGAGATACCAAACGACGCCAAATCGCAGCCTGCACTGGTCAGGCCGTTTGACGAGGAGGCGCGTGGTATGGCTTGGTTTTGCCTGGAAGCGAAAGCGAGGTAGGTCATTCACGCTCTGAATCAAAGCGGACATGTGTGTGTGTGTGTGTGTGTGTGTTCGGACGTTTGCGAGTAGGGTAGAGGAGCGCGCTCGGTGATTTCAGGCATATCGAATCTGCGCCAGGACGAGTGCGCGGGCGGCCTCAGGCATGGGAAACAAGTGACCCGTGGGCTGGAAGGTCAAAGACCAGCGCAAGCTGCCGAAGGAGAGGGCAAGGCATGTCTTACTGGAGAGGCAGGCCATACCCCACTGAGGAGATGGCAACATGCCGATGCCGGGCCAGGGAAAAGGGAGCTCACACACGGACGCACGCACAGGCCACGCCTCAAGCCAATGCCCGGTAGAGTGGAGGGGGCGAGGGGTCCAGGGCCGAGCGCCTGGCAGGGACCGGCAGGTTGGAGACTTCTCCTTCCCCGCACGTGGCGGCGTGGCGAGACATATGGTGTAGTCAGCCAGGAAGCGGCTGCGAACGTAACAGGGAGCAACACAACGCAGTGATAAATCTCCGTCCTTTCTCCTCCCATACTCGACTCGTTTTTTCCATGACCCACTTGAACCCTCCAAGCCCCATGCAAACCCGCCCTCTCTCCGTCCTACTCCGCGCTCCTCGTTTTCGTGGAAATGGCGATGTGACAGTGTAGCCTGCATCGATCCTGCGTCCAATCCCCTCCTCCATTTTCGTTGTCCTTTTACCCCTCCTCCTTCCCGCCTTTCTCGTACCTCTTTTCCCCCCAGCCCCCCTCCCCCCTTTCTTCCCTCATCCTTCATGATATCCCTCCTCCTCCTCATTCCCCCTCCTCCTCCTCACTCCTCCCTCTTTCTTCTCCTGTCCTGCCTCGCCTCCTCCTCCTCCTCCTTCCCTTCTTCCTTCTCCGCCTTTTCTATTTCCTTCTCCTCGTCCTCCTCCTCGTCCTCCCTTTTTCGATTTCTCCTCTTGCAAATTAACACAAGGATCTTGACGAATACACAGCACTGTTTTTCAATAGGCGGTCAGAGATGACAATGCACACACCGCCTGACGGTCATTATAGTTCTTGATCCCAGGGCCACCGGGTGCGCAGAAACCTGGTCACCTTCATTGAAATACTCCCTTCCGACCTGGGGGTCCAGGTCGGGTCGGTTACGCGCAACCTTGTGACATTTGCACGCGCAACCTTGAGACCAGGCAACATCGGTAATGCAGTAATGCATATAGTGTGCTGGCAACTTGAAATGGTGAGGCCAGGAGTCGTTCCCAGCGTGGTTAGTGCGTCGAGAAGCCAACGTGAACATCAAACCTGCTGAATTCGGCAATATGCACAGCTTGAGTGACAGGGCAGCACGAATCGTGACTTGCAGTATGGCGGGGTCTCCTCAATAATTCTATTGGTCACAGCCGCCCCCTCGTAAACATTTACGTTCAACGACCTGCGTTGATCACGCGGCAGACCCTGGAGAGAAATGAAATTGGAGCATTGTCAACGGTTAGTTGTTAGTCAGGGCCTCCTGGGCCTCGTGGATGTTGATCTCAACCGATTCCCTTTATCCTGGGCGTTGCCCGTCTCGATGCGTGCAAACTCCTCCTCGCGGTTGCGCTTCCTGGTGTGCATGCGCGCTCGCGCGACGTGATCCACGTAGCAGTTCCAAGCGTTAACCTCCTCCTTGCCACCTGCCGGAGCTCCCATGGATTCCACCATGTTAGTCTTAGGCTTCTTCTCGGCCTGCTGGTTGTTAACCTCGTCGGCTCGTTGAACCTGCCGACGGCCTTCCAGTGGTTGAAATCTGGGTGCTCTGGATGCTTGACATTTTGCGTGGCCCACCTCAAGTGAACGGATCTCCTGTCTGCGGTCATCGGCTATGCCCAAGTGTGGGTCTACGGTCCAACACTGGTGCATAGCTCATACGTGATAGTCGCCCGATGGGATAATGAAGACAGTCAGCGCCCCTTCGGTGATGCATCTGCCTGAACAACTCGCGCCTGCACATCGTTGCGGATGGCCACGTGCGGTGCCATGTTGGTGCTGGCGCCTCCGCCAAGTCGGTGCCATGCCCGAGAGGCTTACTGGCGGTCGCTTCGAAGAATTTATGATATACCTCCGAACCGTCGCCACTGGTAACGAACTCCTCCGCCAACTCTTTGGTTAGGGGCCGCGCTGCAACCGCTCCTGTTCGAACCGCCCCGACATCGTCATGAATCTTTGAGTCGCTGTGGAGCACTTTGATGGCTAGCATTGTGGTGTTGCCTGGCCACAGGGTCCCATCAACGCGCTCCCGCTCCTGAAACTCGGGCAGATGATATTGTTGATATATGCCAGCATTATGTCGCCGATTCCCCAATCAGACACTGGACGGTGAATTCGATTCGAAATCATGCGACGAGGGCAACCATCGATGCCGTCGGGCAGGTTCGCCTGGCTGGTCATGGCCTATTTTATCCACTCGTCGTGTCTTTCCCTGGGGTGATCTGCTAGTGCGTTGCGCCGCTCAGATGGGCTTTTGAGGTGAGCTTCTGGCCGCGTGCAGTAAACGCTTCCGTATGGCACCCTGAAGGGAGTCCGAGCGACTGCTGCAATCGTCCCTGGATGACGTTGCCTGTCAGGTCTTCCAGCTCGCGTGCCTCGTGGTTGGCCCGACCTCTGAATCGGTCATGCCGCCGCCTCCTGATCCCCGCACTTCGATGCAGAGCCTCGGTGGGGGTCTCCAGAGATTGAGGCCATGGTTAGCGCGGTCCTGTGGCGGGATAGATCGCCCCGCGAGTTGGCTAGATGCCTGCGAGAAAACTCTAACAAATCAGGGTAACTGGCTCTGGTGACTGGCGCGGCGATTGCCGCGATGAAAGGGGTCTAGGGGGTGACTCCGAGCGTGGCGAGGCTGGCGCTGACTCATCCACTGGCGTTACCTCGGTCTCCTTCTTGCCGTCATCATGACCCTTGGTTACTGCCTCCTCAGGTTCCGGCGTCGGACCGGGCAACTCCGTGGGTGAGCTCTGTTCCAAATCCTGCGTTTCGCTCGCTTGGCCTCGATTCATCATGTTAGCGTTATTCCTGGCTTTTTCTACCTGAGGATTCGGGTCAACTGGCGCTGTCCTCGCAGGCCTCGCTCTTGAGCCGCCCCTGGAGGGTTGCCGAGCCCGGGCGTGCTTGATGGGCCTGGTGGGTAAGGCGGACCCACCTCGAACGCCAGCTCGTCACCAGTGAGTTTGGCTCTGGTGTCTGCAGGGCTGTCGTCTTGGTCTCCGGCCGCCAGGCTTATCGCCCTGAGGTGCCCGATGACATCCTCCAGCGCCTGGTTAAACTGGTTAAACGGCGCCCCTGATCCTCGTTCAGCGCTCATGATCGCGCTCATCCCCTCATTGATCTCGGGGGTGCCCTGTTCGGCGAGGTTAAGGTTCTCGCGCGATTTGATGGATCGTTCGACGCTCCTCGCCGCTTCGCCCTTGGGTACACTCATCACTCTGCTCTTGGGCCTCGTTGCCCTGCTTGAGCTCCCTGTTGCGATCGCGTAGCTCTTGGTTACGGCCTGTCATTGCAGAGGAGGCCTTCTGGAGTGTCTCGAGCTTCTCACTGTTACCTCCCATGGGGCGTCCGACAGCATCTGTGACGTTGCGCAGCAGTCTGGTTATGCGCGCATCCATCTTGTCCTCGGCCTCGTCGAGGCCATCGTTGCCGATGATGGCGCTTGCTGGAAAATCTTCGTCGTCATCGTCGTCGTCGGGGAGGACGACGGCTCCACCCCCGTGCCCCGCCCCCCAGCCGCGACCCCGCGCCCCGCGTCGCCGCCGCCGCGCGATCCTGCTGCCGCTGCTGCGGCTGGGAGCCCGAGCCGCCGGACTGGCGCCGCGAGCAGACGTCGCAGGCGTCGCAGCGCTGGGGAAGCCGCTCTCTCGCCCCGCCCCCCCCCCCCTCCCCAGGAAAGATCAGATCGACGGTCAATGCAGAGATGACTCTGGAACGGCATGGGGACTTAAAGTGAGCATCGGCCGACCGACCCCTATCCCCATGGGCGTGGCCTGGGCCCCACTGGGCGATTTACCCTCCTAAATGTAGATATAGGCTGTTTCCTTCGCGTTTCGAGGGGTGTATCCCCAACTGGGGCGCTGAGATGGTGGGGGTCTGGATGCGGAGGGGGATGGGGATAGGGGTCGATTGAACGATACTGATCAACGACAGTTCCGCCACGAAGACCTGCAAGTTTTTTTTCTCCTGGAGTCCTCAGGAGGCCGAACCGAGCAATAACGATAAACCTTGGGTTCGGCTGCCCAGGTGCACAACTGTAGGTGGCGAAACCCAGCTATGCACCCCGACAGACGGGGCAAACCGCAGAAACAAACCTTGGAACTTAGCTGCAGTCGGCAGCGCTACTGGCCAGACGGGCCCTCTCACGCGCATGGACGCGCTCAAGCAAAGCCAGCATGCGGGGGGTCTGTATCAGACCTCCTGCGTTGCTGGTGCGGCCCCACGGGGCTTCTGGGGCTTCGGATGTGCACACGTGGAGCAGGGACCGACCGTCCCAGCATTCCTATAGTCCTACCACGAAATGTTCTCAGAACCCAGAAGTGTTCCAATAACAAAAACATGTTCTTGGAACATAAACCCGATGTGATAAAGCAAGACAGACCCCGCCAGACATGTTCTCAGAACATTTCGTGGAAACCAAAAAAGATTCTTAGACCATGGTTTGGTGGGCCTATAGGCGAGCCCGGGCGCTTCGCCACTGCTTGAAAAATGGAGGGGCCGGGCGCCCGAAGTATTCCCGGAGGCGGTCGGACCTGGGCCAGAAGCGCATCCCTCAAGAACACGAAGGCCCTCCGTCGGCCCAAAGACAGGACGTCCAAGGGGCACCCTCCCCGGGATGCACGAGAGCAGCCAACAAGCACGAGCAAACATCAGGGCACCCTCCCCGAACCGACCTCGATCCTGTGCCTCGGTCCGGGGTAACTCCGGCTTGGGCCCCCGAGGCGCGCATCTGTAGCTGCCCCTGACCGCCCCCCGCCCGATGACTCGGAGCTCTGATGGGTGGGCTCCCGAGAGGCGGGGCGTGCCCTCCCAGGAAAGCCACTGGCCCCCCCCGCCCCACCCCTTCCGCGCCTCGCCAGCTCTCTCTCGCCCCACCCCTGGGTGGGGGGGTTCGAGGGCGTTCGGCGATCGGTGCCTCTGGGTCTCGAAGAGTGTCGGAAGCCAGCTGCTCTCCACCCCTCCCCCGGCAGGTGGAGCTGGGGCTTCAAAACGGCAGTGCTGATGCCCAGACTGGCCCTCCGTGGGCCACTCTCTGGATGGCTCAGGAGCCTCCATCCCTCTCTCTCTCTCTCTCCCTCATTCCCTCTCCCCCTCCCTGATCTGATGTCTAGCGTGCTGGCAAAGTCACGAAGGGGCCTGCCTGCCCCGACTCTAACGGATCGACCCTGCCCGACAAACCCCGCAGCGAGATGTGGCCAATCTCCCCCCCCGTCTCTCTCTCTCTCTCGCTCCCTCCTTCCCTCCTTTCTCCTCGACCTCCCCCGTGATCGTTCTCTAGAGGAACCACATGATCGACCTACGAACCCCAGAAAGGAACTTAGACATTCGACATGCGAGGAATGGCAACGTTTTGAAGACACCTGATTGGGCGACGGGCAATTGCAATGCTGAAGGCACTGATCGTGATGTAGTGTGCCAGGAGTTATGCTATCCCATGCCGGGCTGGATTGAGATGCGTCATGCCGCGATGCGCCACCGTGCCCCCTGGCACGTTGAGGCGTGCCGGAATGCCAAGGTAGGGGTTCATGAATTCTAACAAGGGGGTCCCCCCCTTCCATACTCACAAACTCCTGCGTGCATCGCCCATCCTTTACGGAGCCACTTCCCTCGTGCCCGCTCCACGATGGTGCACGTCCAGCATGGGAGCTAATGCCCAAACCCCCATTCCAAGCGTGCCCGCTCGAGGAAGGTGCACTTCCCCCCTGGTTGCTCATGCCTGAACCCCCCTTCCACGTGTGCCCGCTCGAGGATGGTGCACTGCCCGCATGGGAGCTGATGCCTGAACCCTCATTCCAAGCGCGCCCGCTGGAAGACCGCGCTCTTCCCGCATGGCTGCTAACTCCGACTATTTTCTATGGAATAATTGACCAATCAAACACAATCTTCGGACACCCCCCCTGACAACCTGGACAGCTCATGCTGATTAATCACGACCGGGCGACCTTCCCCAAACCCAGCGGGGATCCCGACAACCCCGCCAGACATCCCATGCACACCCTCTCGCTGATTGTGCACTTCTCGCAGTCCCAGGCGTTGCTCCCAAGCGCTCCAGGGCCTCCCAAGCTACGATCCTCAGTTAAAAACAATGGATGCGCGTCCAAAGCTTACAAGACGGCCGTGCAGCGGTCCAGGCAATCAAGGACACCAAGATGGTCCAATATGCATCGAATACGGCCCAAGATGGCCCCAAGGCGGCCGAATAATGATTCAAGACAGCCCAGGATGCCCCCAAGAATGCAAAATAGCCACAAGAGGAATTCAAGCAGGGTCAGAAGAAGCCCAAATCATTGATTTCCATCAAATGTTTGAATAGTTTTTTTGTTGTTTCCCTCTTTCTCTCTCTCTCTCTCTCTCCTATCCCCCTTGACCGGATGATCCGGGATAGACCTTGTCGGGGTAGGGTCCTGTATGCTATGGAAGATCACTGGAAGTGCTTGACCCAGAGCAGCTTCCGTTTTCGGAGCATGCTGATCCAAAGGCAACTCGCGTCCAGCACAATCCGGAGCAACTCCGGCGCGGAAGCGGGAGGCCCGACTCGGGAGGTATCCCCGACCCCCCCCCCCCTGCGCCCGGATGGCTCGGGGCTCTGACGATCTCTCTCTCTCTCTCTCTCTCGCAGGGCCGTAGGAGGCGAGGCGGAGAGCGCTCGTGGCCGGCATCGCGCCAAGACTTAGGTCGGGCGTGTCCCCCTGCAGGGGGATTTTCGACGAACAATAAAAGAATACCCCAAACATGCCCCAACATTGCCAACTGAATACTCCAAAAATAGTCCCCAGACTATTTTTTGACTATTTTTGCTTATTCCCCCTGTAGAGGGACAGGCCCGACTTAAGCCAAGACCCCGCCACCGTTCGGGCGCACCCGCGCCGCACCCGGGCGAGAGCGCAACTGTTGAGCGGCGTCGGCACAGCGTGCGCTCCCCGTCGCTCGGACGTCCATTCTCCGTGTTTTTTGTGTTCGGTTTCGTGCGCAGTTGTTTCGCAGGATGATCCAGGATGCTCCTTAACACAATCAACCCGCAGAGTAAGGATGCGCGGTAAGGATGCAAGGGCCTTGGACGCCCAATTCGAAGCTCTTCGAGCGGGGCGCGGCCAACGACCGTGGCGAAGGATGGACCGAGGGGGAAAGGATGCAAGGGTACCCTTGGGAAGGCTGCCCATCCTTATTCTGCGGGTTGACTGTAATCCCCGCCGAGAAAAAGTGCACACGTCCGAGCGATACCAAGTGCTTGGGCGAGAGCGGAGCTGCGCCCTTGCCGGTGCGGCGCCGCAGCCGACATCTGGGCGAGCGGGGCCTGCGCGACGAAACCGAGAGCATCATCTGCGTGGCGCTTGCGCACGCATGCGAGAGCGACACTCCGCCCACGCGCGCGCGCGACCCCGCTGCCGACGAACTGCGTCCGATCTGCGCCGCGCCCGCGCCCCTCCTGCTCAACCACCCTCCTCCTTCGCTTCCTGTCCCCCGCCCCTTTCGGCTCCTCCTCCCGCTCCCCCACCAACTCCCTTCACCCGCACCCCTCCCCCTTCGTTGCTTCTGGACCGTCTGCGGAGAACGGGTTCCGGGCGCACTCTGCCCAACACGCAGCCGTTCTACCCACGGCAAAAAAACGCAATACGCTGAATCGATCGCGCCTGCGGTGCTGCCTGGGTGGCCCTCGGAACGCGGCTGGTGGGGCTCCGCTCAGCGAGCCTCTGGCCATCGCGCTCTACCCCATCGCCCACTGCTGGAAATGCTCTCCTCTTCCCCTCCCCCCCCCTCCCTTTTCCTCCCCCCTTTTCCTCCTCCCCCCCTCCTCCTCCACGCTCCTCCCCTTCCCAGACGGCCTCGCCTACGTCCTCGCCTGCACCAGCGCCCTTGGCGCTCGCCTGCGCCCTCGCCGACGGCTGTTCCTACGTCCTCGCCCCCTCCATCGTCAACGCCCTCGCCCTGGCCCGACGCCGTCGCGCACGCCGTGGCCAGCGCCCGGGTCTGCGGCTCGAGCGGCCTTGCCCATGTCATCGCCCATGCGCTCGCCCTCTCATGCAGGACGAGAGATTTCCCGCTTGAGGTGAACATGGCGATGATGAGTTCGCGAGATAACATCGGCGCAGCCGGACGGACGGCGTCTGGACGAGCTGCGTGCAGCAACAGGGGGGAGGGAGATGTTCCCATGTTGATTGGGGCCCGGGCGCGCGGAAAGTTGATGGGAGTGCGCGAAACAACGTAGGACCCATCCTGGGAAATTGATGACTGAACCCCCCTTCCCTCGTAGACTCTTAGCACGGGCGGTTTCCGGGGCCCGCGGATCCGATTTCTTCTGGTTCCCCGTTATAATTGAACACTCTGAACCTTAAACGGGGTTGCAAATCGGATCCGCCGGACGGGACGCGGATCCAGAAAAATCCGACGCGGATCCGCGCGGATCCAGACAATCCGAAATCGGATCCGCGCGGACGGAAGTCGGGTCCGCCAAGATAAAAACCAACACCACATCGGACCCGCGCAAACTTCATCGGATCCGATTGCGGTTATCCCATACGCGTCTGCGCAAGACGTAAAACCGTCGTCCGGGCCCAAGAGGAAAAACCTTTCGTCCTGAGGGTGTTTTGAGCAGGGACCGACCGTCCCTACATTTATATAGCACGAGATGTTTTTAGAACCCAGATGTGTTCTAAGAACACAAACAATGCTCTTAGAACATATGCCCGATGTGTTAAAACCAGACAGTCTCAGCCAGAACATGTTCTAAGAGCATTTCGTGCCCACAAGAGGTTCTTAGAACATGGTTTGGTGGGCCTATAGGCGAGCCAGGACGCTTCGCAACGGCCTGCATGTGCGCTCTCGCCCGCGCCTTCGCCGGCGGCCCCTGTGCTCTTCGACGCCCCCCCGCGCCCCTCTCGCTGGTGTCGCCGGAGCGCGGCGGGCGGCCCAGGCGGTCGACGATCGGCCGAGGGCGCGGCCCACCCTGCCGACGGGCACTCCCTCCCTGCCTGCCCACAGGCAGGCGTGCAGGCCTTCCCTGCCCACAGGCACTCCCTCCCTCCCTGCCTGCAGGCACGCCTGCGGGCCCTCCCGGCCTGTGGGCACCCTTCCCTCTCTGCCAACGTGCACGCCAGCGGGCCCTCCCTGCCAATAGGCACTCCCTCCATGAGTCGTGGGTTTCCACTGGTCCTCCTCCTCCTCCTCCTCCTCCTCCTCCTCCTCCTCCTCCCTGCCTGCGGGCACGCCTACAGGCCATCCCTGATTACAGGCATCCGCTTGCTCCAAGGGCAGCGCCTATACGCGCCACCCGCGGGGCCTCTCTGGCTGCGAAGGCTGGGGTAGCGCCTCCTGCTTTTCTTCCTCCTGCCTCCTCCTCCTCCTCCTCCTCCTCCTCCTCCTCCTCCTCCTCCTCCTCCTCCTCCTCCTACTCTCCCTCCTGGCTCCTCATCATCCTTCCGCCCCTCGAGCCCTCCACTCCTCCTCCTCCTCCTCCTCCTCCTCCTCCCTCCTCCTCCTTCTCCTCCTCCTCCTCCTCCTCCCCCTCCTCCTCCTGCTCCTGCTCCTCCTCCTCCTCCTCCTCCTCCTCCTCCTCTCCCTCCTCCTCCTCCTCCTCCTCCTCCTCCTCCTCCTCCTCCTCTCCTCCTCCTCCTCCTCCTCCTCCTCCTCCTCCTCCTCCTCCTCCTCCTCCTCCTCTCCTTCCCTCCTCCCCCCGCCTCCTGCTCCTCCTGCTTCTCCCTCTCCTCCTGCTCCTCCTCCTGCTCCTCGTCCTCCTCCTCCCGCCTCCTCCCCCCGCCTCCTGCTTCTCCTGCTCCTCCTGCTCTGCTGCTCCTCCTGCTGCTCCTCCTGCTCCTCCTGCTCCTCCTGCTCCTCCTGCTCTCCTGCTCCTCCTCTCTTCCTCCTCCTCCTCCTCCTCCTCCTCCTCCTCCTCCTCCTCCAACTCCTCCGTCCTCCTCCTCCTCCTCCTCCCTGTTTCTCCTTCTCCTCCTCCCTCCTCCTCCTCCTCCTCCTCCTCCTCCTTCTCCTCCTCCTCCTCCATCCTTCCTCTTCTTCCTCCTCCTCCTCCTCCTCTTGCCCGCCCTCCCCCCCGTGCCCTCCTTCCTCCGCCCCTCCTCGCCCCCCAGGGGGAGCAGCCCTCCTGCGCCTGGTGCTGCTCGCCGAAATAGGCGAGGAGCGCGGCGCGCCTCGCGGGCGCCTCCTCTGGCTTGGCTGGCTGCCCCTCCCTCTCTCCTCCTCCCTCCTCTCTCCACGACTACACAACATGTATACTACTCACCGCCCTCCTCTCGCCTCCTCCCTCCTCGCTCCCCTCTCTCCTCTCTCCTTCTCCCTCCTCTCTCCCCTCCCTCCTCTCTCCGCTGCTCTCCTCTCTCCTCTCTCCTCCTCCCTCCTCCTCCCTCCTCTCTCCACGACTACACAACATGTATACTACTCACCGCCCTCCTCTCGCCTCCTCCCTCCTCGCTCCCCTCTCTCCTCTCTCCTTCTCCCTCCTCTCTCCCCTCCCTCCTCTCTCCGCTGCTCTCCTCTCTCCTCTCTCCTCCTCCCTCCTTTCTCCCCTGATGATGTCCGGAACATGTTCGGCTCCCCTCCGCGTACTGTTTTGTTAACGCGCAGGATTCCCAAGAATTGGGTTTTGGTTTGGTTTTGCTTTTGAAGCTGTTGCTCCCGCTGGAGCGCTGGCCCCATTTCTGCGCCTCTGGTTGTTTCAATCGTGCTCCCGCTGCAGCGCGGGCGCTTTCGGTCCTTCCAAATAAGCCCCCAAATCAAAAAAATGGTCCCCCGAAAGAATCATCGGAAATGATTGCACATTCGGTGTCGATTCGTTGATTTTCTGGGCCGCAGAAGCCCCCCCCATTTGGGGGCGTCGCCGCTTTCAGGAAGTCTCGAGCGGAAACCCCGTTTCTGCTTTGAGAAGGCGATGTTGAAAGCAGAGCTGGCGGGTGCTCTCCATCAGCCCCGCTTTGTGTGGAGCTTTTCGGGGAGCCCAAAGAGCTAGACATGGAGCCACGACTCCAGACTGGCCCAGACCTCTCGAAGACGATCCACTTTCCCTCCAAGGAACCCGGCGCCATGCCATGACATGCTGTGCGGTGTTGTGCTCTGCGCCGCTGTGCAATGCCATGCTTTGCGTTGCAACGCTTTGTGATGCAAAGCTTCGCTGCGCAATGCCACGCCATGCTATGGCATGGTACGCTCTGCCGTGCTGTTCTACGCCATGCCATGCCTTGCTTTACCACACATCGCGTACCCTCTCGCGATCATTGCCCTGCTCGACATCCGACTGTGCGAATCGAGAGGATATCTACGCCATGGTAAGAAATGGGAGGGAGGGGTATGATTTCGGATGTGACGCGAGCGAACCTAGCTCGTCCTCCCCTCTCTCCTCTCCCCCCGTCCTCTCCACCTTCTTCCTCCAACTCCTCCTCCTCCTCCTGTTCCTCCAACTCCTCCTCCTCTTCCTCCTCCTCCTCCTCCTCCTCCTCCTCCTCCCTCCTCCTCCTCCCCCTTCATCCTCCTTCTCCTCCTCCTCCTCCTGCTCATCCGCCACCTCCTCCTCCAATGTACGCAGCCCCCCTTTGCCAGATTGCGCACGACACGATGGTGTCCCTCTAGGGGTTCCGGGTCCGCTCCTTCCAGGGGCCCCGGGTCTGCTATGACACCCGTCGGCGGATAGAGAACAACTCGTCGCCATGGGAGGGGATGGGCGGGAGGGGCACTTAGGAGGCAAGTACTGGGAGGTCTTCGTCGGAAGGATTAGGAAGGATTAAGCCTCATTGGGGGGCTGCTACGCCAGATTAGGACGCGGATTTAAGCGGGATTAATCCAAATTAAACGGGGTTAAGCCAAAGTAAGCGGGATTAAGCCGGATTGAATCCGATTTCGGACCAGGGCAACATCAGAATTTGACCTCCCAGGAGTTGCATCCGATGGGCAGGATGTCAGATATGGCGCGAGCGCACCTGGCTTGTACCTCCCCCTCTCTTCATCCCCCCTCCTTCAGAGGACGAAAATCACCATGAACATTACACTTTCGCAGGCCCGCGCGAAACAATATGTTGCTGCAATTGCTGCTTACTCGATCCTCCCCCTCTATTCCCCCTCTCATAAAGTGGGACTCATCCTCCTCCGAATCCCCCTTTCCCCTCCTTCTCTTCTCCCCCGCGAAATAACATCTCCTCCCCCTCATGCATCTCCCTTTCCCTCACCAAGTGGAGAGGTCAGACTCTGCGTCCATAAAGCGCCAAAGCCAAATGCACCCTGAGGCGCGCCGCTTTCTCGTATGGACCCTCTCCCTCCTTCTGACTTTCTCGCTCGACCACTCCGATTCGGCCTCGGCGGCTCTGGTTCAGTCATGTTTCGTTTTTTCTCTGGTGCTCTCGGTGTGTCGCTGACGAATCGATTTTGCCGGCTCCCCCTCGTCCCCCTCCCCCGCCTCGTTCCTTTCCTCTTCCGCCTCCTCTGCCTCTGCCTCGCCTCCGATTCCACGTGTCCTCCTCCCTCATGCAGCCTTCCCCCCCGCACCCCCCGCGCGGCCATCCTGGCCCAAGCGACCCCCCCCGGCCGCGACCCCCTCCCCCAACGGCTCGGCCCGGTGGCGACTGCGCCGCCGGGGGGAGCCCCTGGCCGCCTCCCTCGTGGCAGCGGCGGCCCGCGGCGCAGCGCGGTGTGGTCTCGGCGCGCGCGCGCCACTCCCCAGGGCCCCCTCCTGAGCCCGTTCGGCGTCTGGGCCCGCTCAACCGCCGAGTGGGCAGCCGCACGGGCTCAGCTCCGACGGGGTCGTGGGGATCGAGCCCGCCCAGCCACCGGATGGCCTCCATCTTGAGCCGGCTCGGCGGCCGAGCACGCTGAGACGCCAAACGGGCGCAGAGGGGAACCCTGGACTCCTGCAGGGGGCACGCTCGGCGCTGTAGGCTACGCCTTCCAGGCGCGTCGCACCGCGGTCCGCGCGGAGCTCCGAAAGGTCATCTGTATGCTGATGCTGTTCCTCACTCATTAAATACCCCCACGACACCACGCCCAACGCAGACACCAGAGACCGACACGGGAAGCGCCAAGCGTGACCGGGGTGCGACACGCCCCCCAAACGAGCGACAAGTGCCGAACGCTTCATGTACATTCTGGTACCCTTCGGGCCTCGCGCCCGGCTGCCGATGGCGCGCGCGCCGCACAGCTGCTGACCGCGCCGCCGCGCCTCAACTGGCGCCGGGGCGCGCAACGCACTGGGTGCGCCGGCATCGAGGAGGCCCGTGGGTTCCTTGAGCAGGGACCGGCCGTCCCAGAATTCCTACGGGCCTGCCACGACTGACTACCTACCAAACCACCCCCACCCAAGCCGAAGACCCTGATTTCGAGTTTTGGGGGGGGGTCCAGGTTCCACTCGTGTTCTTTCGATGCTCCCCGACGCTCCCCACTGGGAATGAAGGACAAACTGGGTTTTTCGGGTTGAATCGGGGTGGCTTGGTGGGTGGTGAACGACATGTACCCTGTTCTCAGACCATACAATCGAAGTCAAGACTGCCCCGGACGGAACACGAGACTGCCTCAACCAGAAACGTGCTCTGAGAACATACCGTGCAATCCACAACCAACTCCTGGATTTGAGCAGGGACCGACCGTCCCGGTACTTCTTTAGTCCTACCACGAAATGTTCTTAGAACCCCAAAAATGTTCTGAGAGCAAAAACAATGCTCTTAGAACTTACCAAGACAGCCCCAGCCAGAGCTGTTCCAAGAACACGTCGTGGCTACCAGCAGAGGTTCCCAGAACACTGCTTGGCAGGGCTGGGGGCGAGCCAGGACGCTTCGCCACGGCTTGATGGATCCGTCTTGCAGGCAGGTCGGGACGCCTCGCCGCTGTCTCGGAGGCGGCCCGTGGGCCCGCGCAGGGCCTCCGCGGGCGGCAGCCCCGGAGGCCTCCGCGCGCGCCGGCCGCGGGGCCGAGCGGTGCGCGGCGCCGCGCGCGCGCGCCGTCCGCGGGCGGAGGGCCGCCGACCTCGGCGGCGGCAGGGCGGCGTGGCGGGCGCCGCGGGGGCGCGCCGCTCGGACGTCCATGCCCCGTGCATGCTTTGGTTTCGTGCGTGCTTGTTTTTGTGCTCGAGGGTCCAGGATGGTCCTCGCCGGAAAAGAAAACGCACACGTCCGAGCGATGCCAAGCCCGTGGGGGCGCGGCCGCGGGGGGGTCGAGCCCTCGTGCCAGTCCGGGGGAGCTGGACCCAGCCCTGGCTGGATTCTGTTAGAGCCGCCATCGGCCCCTGGACCGCGCGGCCGGGGGGGCCACGCGGCGCGCGCACGCGAGGGCGCAGTCCCGGCTGCGCGCCCTTCCGCCCGCTGGGCTGGTCGGCGTGTGAGGCGCGCTGCCACCCCAGAGCCGGCCTCTCCTCCTCGGCCTGCTCATGCTCTCTCCTCCTCGCTTTCTCCCCGTCTTGCTCCCTCTACCTCTTCTTTTCGCATCCTCCTCGATCCCCCCCTCTCGTCCTCCTCCTCCCCCTCCTGCCCCTTCTACTCCTTCCCCTCTTCTCTTGTTTTGTTTTGAGGTTCTTTATTTTCTTCTTTCTCTCTCTCTCTCTCTCTCGCCCTCCCTTGCTCTCTCCTCATTGCCCTCCGCCTCCAAGGCGGCTGCGGCGGCGGCGGCAACGACGAATGGCAGCGGCTGGCGCTGCGCCTGCACACGGACCCGTCACCGCAGAACCGGCTGGCCAGGTCGATCTGCTCCTGCTCGTGTTTCTTGCTCGCCATCTTCCTCGAGCGGACGGGGCTGCGCCGCTGAGAGTAGGATAGAAAGGAACAGGAGGATGAGGAGGATGAGGAGGATAATGTGAAGAGGGAAGAGGCGGATGCGGGTCTTGGGGTGAGCTGATGTGTTCGCGACGTAACTTAGAAAACAACATTCGAGCACGAAACGACGAACGATGAGGTGGCAGTCAGGTCCGCGCCGCGACCGCGCAGTATACTCAGTGGGGACCGCTCTAAGAAGATTGTGAAATCGACGAGGGTGACAGCGGTACTGTAGCAGACGTGCGGATGAGGTGAGCGCGCGTCTGCCGCCCTGGTCGTCATGTTCCCCCCTCCATTTGCTTCTCCCATTCCTCATCTCTTTCTCTTGGCTTCCCGGAGCCTCCAATACATCTTCCTCCTCTGCCTCATCCTCCAACTCCACTTCCTCCTCCTCCACCTCTTCCTCCTCCTCCTCCTCCTCCTCCTCCTCCTCCTCCTTATCATCACCATCATCTTCCTACGTATTCCCCCTTCTCCTCCTACTCCTCCTCCTCCTCCTCCTCCTCCTCCTCCTCCTCCTCCTCCTCCTCCTCCTTGTCCTGTCAGCAAGGCAAATGCCAGGCGGCCAGGAGGAGAGAGGGGTTGACTTTCGGGGCGGGGGGGGGGCCCAAACATCCGGCGTCTCCATTTTTCTGAGACGCGGGCCCCTGATCTCTCGACCACTTTCCCTGGACCGGTTTCTCATCCCGAATCGTGGTTTGACGGTCCCGAGGCCCGGTGAGGGTCCCCAGAGGCCGAAAACTATGAAAAACCTCTATCCCGATTTTTGTTGAAACGCCTGGACTTCTGAGTGGCAGCCAACGACGGAGAGGGGGGCCTCCCGCCTCGGGCGCGCCGCGCGCGCGCACGCATCCTCAGCCGCTGGACGTCGGCCGGGGAGTACCACAGCACGCACCGGCAGGGGCTACCGTCGCGGCCCGCGCGGCCGATCTCCTGGTGGTACCTCGGCCGAGGGGGTGGTGGTGCACGGTGGTGCCTGGGCCAGGGGCGAGGAGGGCGAGGAGTAATGGTGGGGAGCGAGAGGGAGCGGGAGGATGAGGGAGGAGGAGGAGGAGGAGGAGGAGGAGGAGGAGGAGGAGGAGGAGGAGGAGGAGGAGGAGGAGGAGGAGCGGAAGCAGGGAGGAGGTCAAGTTAGCCAGGTCGAGCGAATCAGAAGGCCCCGCCTCGTAGGGAGGCCAAGTTCGCCAGGTCGAGCTAATCCCACCCTCCCTCTCACAGCATAGGAATCGTTTGTGGCACAACTTGGCATTGGGATTGGAGCGCGCTCCCAGCTCGTGAGGGGAGAGCGCTCGCGCGCGGCCCCGCGTCCGGCGACTGAGCGAAGGAACAGCTGCTGCGCGGGCCGCGCAGGTGCGGGAGCGGCAGAAACTCCCGAAGGGCTCGGCGAGGACGAGGCACGCGCCGCGCCGACACAGCACTGCCACCTTCACGCTGACACGTCGCCCGCCCTCGCGGGCCCCCTTCAAGTGGGCGAGTGAAAGCTATGCGCCGCGCCGAGACGGGAGGGCCACTTTCAGGCGTAATCTGCGCGCCGCCAAGGCGTAATCTGGTGCGACGACGCAGCGGCAAGCGAGAAATGTTTGTCGCGCCCCAGCGGGAGCTCAAATCTACAGAAAATTGAACGCGGCGCTGAGGCGAGAGCGACGTCGCGGCCTTTCGCTCGGGATGTGCGCCCCGTCCACCAGTCCTGCCACGCATTTTGTGCCATGAGCGATATACTGTCAATGTTGAAACGAAACAGATCGGCTACGTATTGTCTTTCACACGCATGATCGAAAGTTCTGGATTGAGCCCCTATCGGCAGGCTGCGCTGGAGAGTAGGAGTACATATCAATAAGCATTAAGAATCGGTGGGGAGGAAGACGAGGAGAGGTACGAGGCCCTTTCCCCCCTCCCGCTACTCTGCCTTTTCCTCCATATCATCTTCTCCGCCGCCCTCCTTCTCCTCTGCTATGCAGGCGACTTCGGCGAAGAAGGGAGAGAGGGAGCAGAGGTGTAAGTCAGGTGCAGTGGCCGTGCATAAATTCGGGGGAACCTTCACATAACACGACAAGTAACACCTCCTTAATGCCATCGCGCATGCACGGCGCGAGTGTGCCTGCTGGCCTGCATGGAAACCAGGCTGGGCAACTCGCACTGGTGGATCCCCTGTGCCAAACCTTCCCAAAAGCGCTCGTCAACCGGGGCCTCGAGCTCAAGGGCAAGCAGCCTCAGAGCCGGGGCCCTGGCAGCCCTTGGCCGAACATGCCGAACGGACTTGGTCCCGAAGACCACTACCAACGAATGGCATACTCTGGCACAAAACAACAATGTGAGCTTTGAGTTACGGCAAGCTTGACTTGCCTGAACCTGATCAACATGTGGACCTCACAACTTCTCGACAGTGTGATTATTCTCCTTCGGGAGTCTGGCTTGATCAAGCGTGATCGTAGTAATTCTGAGAAGCACCGCCTGAATTTTCTGTTCGAGGGTCAAAAACTCGCGGCAGAGGTGCACTGGAATTTTGGACCGGATCGCCAGCAACTCGGTCAGGATTCAGACCTCGCCAGGACCTTTCACATTTGTTAGAGCCTGCAGCGAGGTAAGACGAATCGTGGTACGCACTAGTGGCACTAAATGGTGGCCGTCAACTTTCACAAAAACCCACCGCAGATCCAGCTTATTAGGCCTCTGGCAATGATGGCGGCCCCTCCCAAAGCCTTCAAATGAGTCTCGTTGCCACGCGCTAGAAAACATCCTGATGCACACCAACCTGTCGGACGATTCCAGCCACAGCCCGTGAGTTCACCACCCGAAACAGTATGCCCCATACGATCGCAAGCTCCAGAAACTCCGGAACTCCAGAGAAGGGTTCGGTGGCAACTCATGGGAGCCTCCCGTGCCATCTAGCTGGCTCTTGCGAATCGGCGCTAACCGACGCTGAGCGACGCACATCCACGCTAAATCAACGCCAATCGATGCTAAACCGGCGTTTTCTCATCATCTACCAATCTACCAGACGCTGGCGCAAGCTAGTGCACCCTGGAGATGGCATTTCGAGGAGATCCGCCACCGTGCCTCTGGGCACGGAGTTGGCGTCTCCTCTGGTCCTGTGCCTGAGCCTCTAAGCCTCAACTCTCGCTCCCGAGGAGTGTCCCGAGGGGCTCGGACCCCTCGCTCTCGAGTCTCCCAGGGTTTCCCGCGTGCTCTCCTGGGGCTTCTCGCGTGCCCCCTGGGCTCCTGGACATGGTGACGCGTGAAATCTTCGGACCCAAGGAGGCGCCAAGACGGGCCAGGACAGCCCTGAGAGGCCCCCTTCACACGGTCCTAGAGGGGCCCCGAGTCGCCAGAAGATCGCCCCAAGACGCGCAAGATGGCCCCCAGACGGCCGAAGAGGCCTCCACCACGCCCCAGGAGGCCTCCAAGAGGCGTCCGAAGAGGGCTCCCAGAGGCAAACATCCTTGGTTTTCCTTTGGTGTTTGAATGCTTTTGGCGTTCTCGCCATTTCGGCTTCCCGACGCTCCCAGACGGCCCTAGAGGCCCCCAAGACCGCCCCAAAACGGTTCAAGAAGCCTCCAAGAAGGCCCCCAAACAGCCCAAGAGGTGCCCAAGACGGCCCAAGAGGCGCTCAAAACGGCCCAAGAGGGCTCTAAGAAGGCCCCCAAAGGGGCCAAAGAGAGGGAACACGAATCGAAAATCCGAGCCTTCCGCCCCAGGAGGCCCCCCAGGAGGCCCCAAGAGGCGCCCAGGAGGGCCCACAAGGTTCCCAAGAGGCCCCCAAGAGGCCCCAAGGGGCCCCCAAGAGGCCCAAAAAAGGCCCCAGAGGCAGAATCCCCAATGAGGCCTCCATGCCTCCGAGCGGCCCCCGAGAGGCCTCCCACGAGATCCCCACGAACATCCAATAGGCTTCAGACCCGCAATCCACGCACGATGGCGGGATGGGCCGATGGCCATTAAGGATCCCATGATTTGCTACCGCAGAAGTGGTTCTAGATACGCTGCCTCCAGGCGAGCACCGCTGAAGACAACTCTGCGGAGCATGGGACGGGGTAGCCCTCCAGGGAAAGGGGTAGAAGCCACGCGCCCGCAGCACTGCAGAGAGCGGAAGGAAGGAGAAGGAGGGGCGTCCAAGCAGTCCTGGGACATGAGCCCTCTAGGCCAGAGAACGAACACATCATCGAAGGCCTCACGCTGTATGCCTTAAGTGCCGTATGCCCTGGACCCTCGAACATGTGTGGGTCTCATGGCGCATGCGCTCCACGCAACGGTGCTGCGGGGGGTCGTCAGCACGAGAAAAAAGCTGGAATTCCGCATCGGGAAACAAACCGCACGCAAACTCTCCAGCCTCAGGCCGCATGCTCCTGATACAATCGTTCGGACCATGGCCGCAAACATGAACTCCCAGTCCATGACTAGTTTATGGGTCAGCTCGCCTACGTGATGCCTGAACTCTCCACTCACCTCCGCTGCCCGTATAGAGCTTCGAGGCCTAAAGGCACTGCAATTGTCCAACACTGGGCACATGATTTTCGAACAGCGGCGATGTGGGAATCGATGGCTGGTGAACTAAAGCCCAATACTTACGGTAGCCTAGCGAGCTCCCTCGGGCTTCGGCGCAACACCCATCAGCGAAGCAAACCATCGTGGATGGCAAATAAAGGCCCCCCTGACCCAGCTCCAGAGACTGCTGCCACCAAACGTCCTCGCTCAAAAGCGCTGGCTGCCTTGAGATCCGCGCCAGCTAGGCTAGATGGCAACGCGGTGACGGATATGAGCCTGAACTGGATCGCGCCCAGCTCCAAAGTCAGGCGGGTAGTGGTGGTGGTGGCGCAGATATCTGTTCCAGTGATGAGCCTGCTGCCACAGGCGGTGCGTCTGACTTCTGTTTCGGATGAGTCCCTGGACCCCAACAGCCCGCATTGCATTCTGGTGCGCACGCATGAAAATATGCACTGGGGATATGTCTTTTCACTCTGGTGGAATGCTTTGTGTCGCCATCCTCTCGACCTGCCTGTCGCAACACTGCGATTCGCCAACGAAATACTGCGGCCAATATCCCGGGCCGCTAGCGCCGTTCCCACAGACTCGAGAGGCGTGTCTTGTGTGCGGCCTGGGCCAACTGCTTGCGAAGAAGTGGGAGAGAGACGATAAAACACAATTCGAATTCGAAAGCTGGCTTGCCGCGCGTAGGAAGCCCCGAACCAGAGCACGGAGGACACCAGGCTATATGGCCGAGACAGCGATATCGGCTCCACGGGTGCGAACTATGATATCGACATATTGCCTCAGGTTCAGAGCTCTGCTGGTATCGTGCGTGGCCCTGCAAATACTGTCCAGATGCGCGCGAGAGGAGGATACAGTCTGGACGCGGCCTGGCAACACCGTGCTGGCGGGACTGATACCAGGATGCGCCGCCCCGCCTGCTCTAGAGCCAACAGCCTAGGCCAGAGATACGGTCAGGAACTGTTGCCAAGCGTGTCGCGGCGGCGGCCCCAGCGACACGGTATGCCCCGCAATCTGATAGGGTGTAGCTTCGCTCCGCGTGGGACATTGACGCTTGGGGGCTGGGCCGTGGATAGCGCGTCGCGCCGAACGGTGGTGGGCCAGAACCGGCGGCGCGACACAATAAGCAAACGCTACTGACCGTACAGTAGGGGCCCGACCACAAGACACCTTCCGCAAGAAACTCCACCCTGAGACCCCAGTACGTCTATTGATTTTTGGTGTGGGGGAGTCACGATTTCCATGGCGAAACCATCGAAGCCCAAGAAACCCAGGGCACCCTGGAGGCAAGCCAGGTGTTTCTTGGCATGGGCTTCCGCTGCAGGCGCCGACCGCCGAAGCTGGGAAGCTGACGAGCCAATTCCGATCTGGCCGCCATGGAACAAGAATGAGCAACGCTTCCGCCGCGCCGTCACGAAGGCGGCCGCGGTGCGGCCCCAGAGATACCGCCGGAAGATGGGGTCGGGACCCCCCAGGTCGTATCTGTTTCGCGACGTCGGACCTCGGGGACTTGCGCGCCTCCTCCTCCTCCTCCTCCTCCTCCTCCTCCTCCTCATTCTCCCCCTTCCCCTCGTGTGCTTGCCTCTGCTCCCGCGCGTCCTCCCTTCCGAAGAAGCCTGCCAGGAATAACCAACAGGCGCATCGAGAAAGAGATCGGCCTGCCAGCAGGTGCCCCACGGAAGCTTCTTATCCTGCCGTGGCCCCCAGGGGCCCACAGCAGCTCTGGGGCGTCCCAGAGCCCCGAAAGATCGACGAAGACTGTGCCCCACGGTCAACCAGTACAGTAAGGATGCGCGATAAGGATGCAGGGGCCTTGGACGCCCATTTCGACGCCTTTCGAGCGGGGCGCGGCCAGCGAAAGCGGCGAAGGATGGACCGAGGAGGCAAGGCAAGGATGCAAGGGTACCCTTGGGAAGCTTGCCCATCCTTGCTATGCGGGTTGACTGCAATCCGTCACCGTGACTGCGGCACATTGAGGCGCGGAAGAATGCCAGTGCTGCCTGGCAGGGTTCCTGCAGTCTTCTAAGGGGCCCCCCCATCCTCGCGGCCGGTCGCACCCATGGGGACTGCATCGCCCCAATTGCTTGGGGTCCCTGGGCGGCCATGGCGCCTACCTGGGGCTCTCCAAAGCGTCCATGGCAGTTCGGGATGCCCTCAAGACTGTCCAAGGAGGGCCCAGAGTCGCCGAGCGATCGCCCCAAGAGGGTCCTAGAGACAAACATCATTGGTTACCTTTGGTTTTTTGGAATAATGTTGGCTCATCGCATCTTCGGCATCCCGACGCTCCAAGACGGCCCACGAGGCCCCCAAGAACACCCCAAAACGGCCGAAGAGGCCTCCAACAGGGCCCCAAGACGGTCGAAGAGCTCCCCAAGACGGCCCCAGAGGCGCCCAAGACGGCCCAAGAGGGCCCCAAGACGGCCGCAAAGGGACCTAAGAGAGGAAACGCGAACCGAAAATCCCAAGCTTCCACCCCAGAAGGCCCCAAGAGGCGCCCAGGAGGCCCCACGAGGCCCCCAAGGCCCCCAGGAGGTCGCAAGAGACGTCCAAGAGGCCCCAAGGGGCCCCAAGAGGCTCCAAAGAAGCCCTAAGAGGCCCTCAGGAGGCCCCAAACACGCCTCAAAAAAAACTACCTCCAAGAGGCCCCCGAGCGGCCTCCCACGAGAGGCCTCCCACGTGATCCCAACGACAATAGGCTTCATACCCACAGCCCAGGCACAGTGGCGGGATTTCCCGTAGGCACGTAGATATTTTTGATGGCACGATTTCTTATCGTATGTGTCTACTGTCGACTGGCTCGCGCGCACCCGCTCACAGTCGCAGAGCCGCAGAGGAGAATGAGGACACCTGCGGAGGAGGAGGAGGAGGAGGAGGAGGAGGAGGAGGAGGACCAGTGCAAATCCAAGACGCATCAACGATGTTGCAAGCAGCCCTCCCTCCAAGCTCTGCATCGCCACGGGCCCCCTGTAGGAATTTAGCGTCACCGCGGGGAGCGCCCCACTGGAAAGCCACTACCCGAGAACCCCCCGTCGTGCCAAGGCACAACCCCCGGGGACGCCAGCGCCGCGAACCCGCGGGACCGAGGATGCGCGAGCGTCGGCGCCGTCTGGCGTCTTCGCCGCCGCCGCCGTCGAGCGCGCTCGCCGTCGTCGTCCTCGTCGTCGTCGTCGCCGTCGCCGTGCTCGTCGTCGTCGTCCTCGTCGTCGTCGTCGTCGCCGCCGTCGTCGTCGTCGTCGTCGTCGTCGAGCGTCCAGCGGCCAGCTTCAAGCGTCGAGCGCCGAACGCCCCGAGGGCCCTCGCGCGGCTCGGGGCCGCCGCGCGGCGCCTCTCCATCGACGACGGCACGCAGGTGTGGCACACGAGGCGGACGTCTGGGGGCGGCTCTTGCCACAGCGCGGCCCCGGGCTGCGGCCCGGGCCGCTCGGGCGCGGTGCCCCCCGCTGCGCGCGAGAGGGCGGGAGCTGGCCATGTTAGTTGATAGAACAAGGCGCTAGGCGAATTGAAGCCACAGAGCTGGAGCGTAACACGGATGAGGAAGGAGCGCGCGAAGCCGGATGAGGCAACGCGCGAACAGATTGTAGGCGAGGCCAGCGTGGAAGATGAAACGGACAGGGCAGCTCCTCCTGCTCGTCCTTTACCTCTTGCTGCCGCTTTGACCTCCTCTGTGCGGATGAGCTCCGCTGCGGCTGGGTGTGCACGGAGAGGCGCCCCACTGCTTCTGCTCCTGCACCAGAAAATACGCTCCGGCTGCTTCTGCTCCTCCTCTTCCTCCTCTTCCTCCTCTTCCTCCTCCTTCCTCCAACTCCTCCTGCTCCTCCTCCTCCTTCTCTCCTCCTCCTCCTCCTCCTCCTCCTCCTTTTCCTCCTCTTCCTCCCAACATGCTCCTTCTCTGCCGTGCTGATGGACTGGCGCAAGGATCCCAGGGTAGGGGGGAAGGAGTGGGGGAGGGTATGACGCGACCTGGAGTGAGTTGTCTGCGGGACCCTGCCAGCTGCCAGCCAGCGAAGCCTTCTGGAGAGCTTGTCTAGGCGGACCACTGTGCAGGCGGCAATCAAAGCTCGGAGTCTGAACGACCAGGCTCCGCGCTCCAGCTCCGCGTTTCAACGAACACCCGTGGCCCATCCCTTCAGTTCCTCTCCACACCTCCTCCTTCCCCCTCTACTCCCTGTGCGATTGCCCTATACGAGTTGCAACCGCTCTGCGGTTGATCGAGAGTTCCTGCGCAATCTCTTATATATATATATATATATATATATACAGAAGTGTGTGTGTGTGTGTGTGTGTGTGTGTGTGTAAATCTATATGTATAAGGTATACACATAGAAGAAAGGGCGCGTGCAGGAGGCGGTGGTGCGGCGGGTGAGGATGAGGAGGATGAGGATCAGCAGGGCGAGGCTCGCAAGGGGGGGGATCAGGAGAGTGAGAGTCACGCGGCTCAGGAGCAGACGAGCGTGGAGCAGGAGCGTGAGCATGTGGAGAATGAGGGCCAGAAGTGCGAGGATCAGGAGAATGAGGATCAGCAAGGGGTGAGGAACGGGCGAGTTGGGACCAGGAGATTGAGGATCAGCAGAGTGAGGATTGGCAGAGTGAGCATCACGAGGAGAGCGAGGATCAGGAGAATGAGAATGAGCATGAGGAGGGCGAGGATCAGGATCGTGAGGAAGGAGGGTGAGGATGAGGAGAGCGAGAATCAGGAGTGAGGATCAGAAGGATCAGAAGGGCGAGGGCCATGAGGGGGGCCATCGAGAGGGTGAGGATCAGATTTGCGAGGAGCTGCCTCATCACTCCTCCTCCTCCTCCTCATCTTTCCTCGGACTTCGCCCTGGGACTCCTGACTCCTGACTCCTCCTCCTCATCTTCTTCCTCCCCCCAACTGCTGGGGGCCTCCGTCGGCGAGCGATCCGGCGACCTTGCGAGGATGTCTCGAGCGAGACCCCTGGACTGGGACACGCCCGGCGCGCCTGGTGCGCCCGGCGCGCTCCTCGGAAATGGTCCCTGGGGGCGCGGCGGGGCCCGGTTTTCTCACGCGCTGGGGGGGGGCCCCGGACTGGGGCACGCCCGGTGCGCTCCGTAGAAATGGTCCCTGGGGGCGCGGTGGTGCCTGAAGAACCGGGAAATAAGATACATAGAAGCATATTATGTTTTTTTTTTTTTTTTTTTTTGTGAAATGTTCATCCAAATTTTTGTTTGTTTATGTCTGTTGCTAGCAAGCATGACACAAAAATGAAACATAGAAGATATTATATAATTATTTAAGATATTTTATAAAGTAAGAGAGTTTGCGCAATTGATTTTGAAACAATAGAATAGCGCATATATTGCAAGTTTATTATTGTTATACTGTCTCACGCGCTGGGGGTCAGCAGTATATTGTGAGTGATCGCTATGTTTGTCGATCAGAACGTCTCGGACCTTGGAAAAAAGGGCTCCCGCAGCGGCGCTGGCCACATTCTAGGATCGGTGCCTTGCTCCCGTCGTCCAGACTTGCGCTCCCGCCCCAGCAGCGCAAGACCAAGACACATTTCTGGATCCGACGCCTTCCTCGTTGTTGCCGCCATCTTCATCCCTTCCTCCGCTTTCCGCTGGTCATCCTGCTCCTCCTACTTCTCGTGCTCCTGCTGCTGCTGCTGATCCTCCTCCTCCCTCCTCCTCATTCTGCTCATCCCCCTGCTCATCCGCCACCTCCTCCTCCTCCTCCTCCTCCTCCTCCTCCTCCTCCTCCTCCTCCTCCAATGTGCAAGGCACCCCCTTCTGATCACGAGACGCATGATAGGGGTCACCTGGGAGATCAAGGTCCTCTAGGGCCACCCACGGGTACACACGAATTCAGCACAATGGGAAGGGATGGGTGGGATGGGGTAGGATGTCAGAGATGGCGCGGGGGCGCCTCGCTTGCTTCCACAATTGCACATTCTGAAGGAACTCTCCTCTCTCCCCTTACTCCGTCCAGGATTAAGCTGGTTCTCTCCGCGTGCAATGTTTTTTATACACAGGATTGGACAAAGGTGAGTTTCCATGTTTTTCGCCATCTGATTGTTTTCGGTGATTCACAATGGTGCTCTCGCAGCAGCGTGGGCCTCATTTTCGGGACCGCGCTTTGATCCCGTCGTTCAGAATGGCTCTCTCGCCCAAGCCTGGGCCACATTTCTAGATCCAAGTCCTTCCTCATCGTTGTCGCCCCCCTCCCTTCCCCTCCTCTTTCCCCTGGTCATCCTGCTCCTGCCGCTCCTTCCACTCGAGTTACTGCTGCTGTTCTCGTTCCAATCCGTCCTTGTCCTTCTCCTTTTCCTTCTGCTCCGTCTTCTGCTTCCCCGTCGCCTCCTCCTCCTACCTGCGTAGCTCGCGCTTTCCGATTGCACATCGCACGAGAGGTCGTCGTGTGAGTTCCAGGTTCCAGGTTGGCTGTGGAGCGCGTCCACGGATAGAGAAACAAGTCGGCGCAACGGGAAGGGATCAGAGGGAGGGATGTGATTCCAGACATGGCGCGAACGCACCTGGCCTGCCCCCCGCCCCTCGCGCCTCTACCCTCCCCCTCCAGTCCCTTCGCCTCCCTCCCTTGCCGTCGTTCGGACGTCCATTTCCAGTGTATGTTTCGGTTTCGTGTGTGTGTGTGTGTGTTTTTGCTCGATGGTCCAGCATGGTCCTCGATGGTTCTCCAGCATGGTCCTCGATGGTTCTCGCCGAGAAAAGATGCACACGTCCGAGCGATGCCAAGCTCCCCTCTCTCGCTCTCTCTGAACGGACGCTGCAAAGGCGCGTCCCCGCTTGTCGATCCCCATGCCGAACGCCACCGTCGCGACGACGACCTGGCACTCGCCTCGCGGAGGGGCTTCCCTTCTTGCGCAAGCACGGGGGGCCGCCTGATTGCATGGCCAGCCGCGTCGAGAACCGAAAGCCCGCGCACAGAAAGAAATAGCTCGCCGCTCGCAATATGAAAAGCTAGCCCGCACGTTTTTGCCGTCGCTCGGACGTCCATTTTCCGTGCATTGTTCGGTTTCTTGCGTGTTTTTTTTTTGCTCGATGCTCCAGCATGGTCCTCGATGGTTCTCGCCGAAAAAATGCACACGTCCGAGCGATGCCCAGCGTTACTCCACTCTTCTGGTGCGGGTGGAATCTCAAACCCAACTCTGATCAACAGACACTCACGCCTCCCTTCACTCCTCCTGCATCGTAAATGCAATCTGTTCGTGTGTAGTGCGCCGACCCCCTGAGGTCTCCTCGGCGTGTGAAGCTGTTGTCCCTCCTTCCCAAACCCCTCCCCTGGGAGCCTGATCCGGCCGGTATGGACGGGGGTTAGAGAAGGGCCACCGGCCTCATCTGCTCCAAAATGCTTCTGGACGGCCTCCGACGACTTCCAGTGCTCCCAGCCGCCCCCCCCAGACGGCCCAACATGGCCTCCACGTCGCCCCAAGATAGCCCAAACACGTCCCAAGATGGTCCCGAACGCCTTCTAAGACGATGCCCAACAGGGCCCCGATAGCCAAGCATCGCGCAAGTCCCTGTTCGGTTGTCACAGCCCTCACGTAGGCCCCCAGGGCTACCAAGACCGTCCCAAGACGGCCAGCAATGCTCCCAGGGGGCCCCAAGACGGCCCCAAGATGGCTTGAGAGCCCCAGGAGGGACCCAAGGGGTGGAACTCCAATTGAAATTTCGGGACCTGCGCCCGAAGAGGGTCCTGGCAACCGCCAGCAGGCCCCCAAGAAAGCCCCGGCAGGCCAGGAGGGCCAAGCGAGAACCCAAACATCTCCCGGTATCCCGAAACATGTCCTAACTACTAACCACACCGTTTTAGATTACGGTGTGGGTTCCGCAAATCGACAACGCCCACCGGAAGAGTGGCATCAAAGGCTCCAAAGGGGTGGGCAGTGCAGCGTAAACAAATGAATCACTTTGTCGCGGCTGTGGAAATTCGTTGCTGAAATGCTGCCCGCAACTACGCAATGAGGTATTGCATGGATTCATGTGCCCGCATGTGTACACTCGCTGAACCCAGTCTAACTTGGTTGGGTTATGATCGACTCATCTATGGAGTAGGCTTAACTTTGCCTAGCTGGCCAGTATCACCTTCATGCCAAGCAGACTTGATCTTTCACTCACGACGGTCTGCACATGCACGAGCGTGCAAGCTCTTCCTAATCGACGACCCCCTGCTGTGAATCAGTGCATGTGCCGTAGGCTTGGAGGAGAGAAGTGGCACAGCTTGGAAACCATACGTGCACGGCAACATACCATCTTAACATGTGCTCTCCAAAAGGCTGGAGCTCTAGAGCAGAAAGGATGGAGAGCGAATGCTGGATAGTACCCCAGCCATAAGTACGACATACGTACAGGGAAAAACATCAGAGGTGAGGTGTGTCATCGAGAAGTCTAAGTCGAAAAGAAGGAAGCAGAAGGTTAACGTCGAAATGAAGCTGGCTGGCGCGGGCGGATATTTCAACCGACCAACCTCATACCTGGGATGCTGGACTCAGCGTTTTGGGGAACCGTGCAAATTTTGGCCAGATCTGAAGCCGAAGAAGGGCCGGAAACCCTCGTGCTGCCCGATCTCGCGCCTTCGAACGCCGCATCCACGGGCGCAATTCAATATCGAAGGAGAAGCGTGACCCGGACTTTCGACTACTCGATCTGTTTGAGTCGTTGGCCCCTGGTCTCCAGGCGGCTGGGAAGAATCGCGCCAGGGTTCTTTCTGTTTCATGCTATTGTTTCGGCGTCGGGGGGCGGCCCCTGGGACTCGGGGCCGCCAACATACGGCTCGGGATGAAGCGCCAGTTTTGGGGCGGGCCCCTGGTGGGACAATTTACAGTCGAGGCGTATAACAAGGATGCAAGGGCCCTGGAAGGCCATGCCGGTACTTTTCGAGCGGGGCACGGCACGCGAAAGTGGCCAAGGGTGGCAACCTTCTGAGAGCCGCTTATCCCTACTCTGCGCCCTGACTGTGCCCCCCCCCCCTCCCCCAGCACACGACGACGACGACGACGACGACGTCGACGACGACGACGTCGACGACGACGACGACGGCGACCTCTCCTGGGGCGGGTCATGGCCGAAGGTGCGAGGCGGATGCAGCCGTGGCGAGGAAGAGGCGTCTCTCTCTCTCTCTCTCTCTCTCTAAATAAATAAATAAATAAATAGATAAATACATAAATAAATGAATAAATAAATACATAAATAAATAAATACATACATAAATCAATAAATAAATAAATAATTATATATATATATATATATCTAGAACTATGGGTCCCCGCGACCGCGCATCCACGGGCTCCCGCCCTGGGACCCAGACCGCGAGGGCGTGGACATGGACACGTTCGCTGCTCGTGGTCTGCTCGCAGCTAGAAGCGTCTCGATCCTCGAGCAGCCTCGACCATCCAAGCTGGAGGAAATTCATCGGCCAGGGCGCTCGAACGGAGGTGCCGTGAGCGACGCGCTCGCGCGCGCGAGCGCCAGCGGAGGGCCGCAACCCAGGCGCGCAGCAGGAGGGAACGCCAAAGGCAGCAGGGAAGCCGAAGACAGCACGGATGGCCACAGCCCGCCTCTGCTGTTCGTCCTTTTGTCCTCCTCCTCCTCCTCCTCCTCCTCCTCCTCCTCCTCCTGTCGCCCTCGTCTTGTTATCCTCCTCTGCTGCTCCCTCTCGTCCTCCAGCTCCTCGTCTAAATGTTCTCGCCATCTCCTCCTCATCCTCTTCCTCCTCTTGCTCTGCTCCTCCCGCCTCTCACTCTGCTCCTCCCGCCTCCTCCTCTGCTCTCCCCTCTCCCTCGTCTCCTCCTCCTCCTCCTCCTCCTCCTCCTCCTCCTCCTCCTCTGCTCCTGCCTTACCTCCTCCTCCTGCTCCTCCTCCTCCTCCTCCTCCTCCTCCACCTCTCCTCCCTCCAAAATGTTCAAGCATACCAGGAACCACTGGAACCGATTACACACTGGAATGCCACAGAAGCCTGTGAAATCATCCCTGACCCCCCCATCCTTCCCCTCCCCCCGGCTCCCCCCTCCCTCCACTTCCCCTCCTCTTGGGGAGGTGTGGTGGTGGTGAGGTGGGGTGGGTGGGTGGGGGGGGGTGGGGGGGGGGGTGAATCTCACCATCCGCGTGGTCTTCCCCGAAAGGATGACGGCGCATGGTAGTCCATATCGGTCATCCGTACAGTGCCGTGGAAACTTGTAAGCAACAGAGCCAGCCACACAAGTGTGTAGCCAGCTCCGCTACCAATTAGAAAAAACAAGCATGAGGCGATGTATATATATATATATATATATATATATATATATAAAAAAAAAGGGATCTTTTCTGTACTCAGATAGCAGGTCCTGGGAGACTGATCATTTCCGGATGTTAACACCTGAGCATCAATGGCCGCGGATGGGCTCGTACCTGCTTTTCGCTGATCCTACTAACCACTTCCCTTTTAAGTCCCCTCCTCTACCTCCTACCCCTGGACCTGGACGGGTTGTTTCTCGAGCAGTTCGAGCGTCCAAGGTGGCCTCGGCGAGAAGGCCCGAATCATTGACAAGGTTTTGACCGCATTCTGGCCTCCTGGGGATATGCCAATTTACTACGGCCACTCCTTTGATCGATCTCCTCCAAGATGCCCCCCCGAGGCTTCCAAGGGTGCCCCAAGACTGGACCAAGAGGTGCCCAGTAGGCTCCAAAAAAGCCCCCAAGAGGCCTCCAAGATGCCCCCAGACGGCTCCCAAGAGAGGCCCACAAAGGCCTCCTAGAGGCAATAGGACGCCCCAAGAGGCCCCTGGGACTGCAAAGAGACCCTCAAAACGCCACTGCCCTTTCTGCTCGCCCTCCAACTCCTCCTCCTCCTCCTCCTCCTTCTCCTCCTCCTCCTCCTGCTCCTCCTGCTCCTCCTCCTCCTCCTCCTCTCCTCCTCTGCTCCTCCTTCCTCCTCCCCTTCTCTCCTCCTCCTCCTCCTCCTCCTCTCCTCCTCCTTATTCCTCCTCCTTTTCCTCCCTCCCCCTCCCCCCCCCCTCCTCCTCCTCCTCCTCCTCCTCCTCCTCCTCCTCCTCTTCCTCCTCCTCCTCCTCCGGTTCCTCCTTCTCCTCTTCCCCCTCTTGGGGTATGACGTTTGGCCCAGCCCTCTATTCCGCTGCACTCTCCTCCACATCCCTGATCAGGGCAACTCGTCTGGGCATCATGTCTGGACGTGCTGGTGGGGTTACGCGAAACGTTCAAACTTTTCGTCAGAATTCGCCGCCCCCCCCCCTGGACACCGTCCTTGCCCGTTTCTCGAGCTGCGCCCATCCAAGGCCACGCAGGAGCCGCAACAAAGAAGTACAGCACCCCCAGAAGGCAGTCCTGGATCTTCGCGCCTCGATCCTCGAGCGGCTCATGCGGCTTCCCTGGTGTGCTGGAGAGGGGTCGCCAGGAAGAGGTGGGCTGGTGCATCGTGGCCCGAGGCACGTGCTCGGACGAGAGTGGGTTTGGCCAGGAGACGCGTTAAGAAGGGGGCCATGATATCTGGGATATATTTTTGGAGAGCGGGAGGGAGGGCAGAGGGGAGAACGCGAGCCAACCATGAACAACACGCCATTCGTCCCACTCGAGACAGTCTGCGACAGCTGGCGGAGACACGCACAAACCGAAATGAAACATGCGGAACAAGCAAACTGTAAGAGCAGATTCCCGCGCCTGTCGCGCGAGTGCCTCGATAGAATCGCGGCTAAACTGTAAACTCGCGCGCCCGTACCCCATACCCACACGTCTTACATGGCCCCTCCCCCCTCCTTGGGCGCCCCCGAACTTCACGCCCCTGGCGGGAAGCCGCGCGGGATGCACGCCCCTCGGCTTCGGAGGCCGGCCTTGGCGCGCCTCGCCGAAGGCGCAACCCCTGGCCACCAGGTGGCGCCGCGGTGGCAGCCAGTGCCGCACACAGCTGCGGCGGGTGAGCTCCCCCTCTCGGGCGGGTGGCAACGGGGGGTGGCTTCAATACAGTCGGACTCGATTGGACAGGACACGCGAGAGGACGCAAGACCCTTCCGAGGGCCACGTTGCCACAGGAATGCAGAAAGCATGGGTCGCGAGACACAGGACACCAGGGTGCCCTTGATCTGGCAGGGCCGACCTGCTGATATGGGCCGACTGCAGGGGGCGGAGACGAGCGCCCTCTGGGGGCCCGTCTGGGGTCTGGGGGCCAACACGGGCCCCAACCGGGGCACCCAAGGGCCCCTCCGGGGCCCTGCCCTTCGCCCCCCCCCCCCCCCCCCCTGTAGCGCACCGCCCACACCACCCGCCCGACCCGCGACCTCGCCTCGGCCTCCCCCCGCCTGCCTCGACCTCGGGGGCGCCCGCCAGGGGGCGCGCGGCGCGGAGGCAGTCCTTAGGGGGGGGAGCCGGCGCAGCGCGCCGTGCCGAGGGCATGGTCCAGCCACTGGGTGATGCCGTAGTTGCAGTGGGTGAGCGCGTGGTGCGCGTGGTGAAACTCGACGTTCCTCGGCGGCGCCGGGCGGGGAGCGGGGAGGGGGGCGCGGAGGAGTCCTCCCGCTCGCGCCATATACTCCTCGCCCCCCTCCTCCGCCTCCGCCTCCGCCTCCGCCTCCTCCTCCTCCTCGCCCTCCCTCGGCTCGTCTCTTCCTCCTCCTCTGTTCTTCCTTCCCGTCGTCCTCCATGATCCTTCCTTATGGCGGTGGTGCTGCAAGCCTCCCGAGAGGCACAGAGGCATTTTGCCAAGATGCGCTGGCGCTCCCTCGAAAGGTGGGCTGACCAACGTTCCGAAGGGAGGACTTGAGCGATGATCAACAACGGGTTTACGCGGTATGACGTAGCGACCTTGTGCGGTGGCTCACGCGGGCCGCCCGCGCGGCACGCCACATTTAAAGCGAGGGCGCCTACGCGCTACCTTACGCGGGCAGCTTACGCGCCAGTGTCTGCGCAGACGACCCCGTTCTTTGGCGTCGCTCACTTATCGGAAGGGGGGATGCGGGCGATGCGGAGGACAGGGGGCTGAGGAGCGTACTCAAACCTCCGACGGCATTACTTTCTCGAGTCGCCCGCGCCTGGAACTCTCGACCCCTTGCACAAGATCGGACCTTTCGTCGTCCCGGATCGTGGTCGGCAGTCCCTGATGGGGAAGGCAACGACCTCAGACGCCGAAAGCCGTGAAACCCTGAGGGTTCCTGTTTTTCTGGTCGCCCGAGGTCTGGGGAGCGGGCGAGGAAGACGTGGAGGGACGAGGACCAGGGATGAGGAGGAGGAGGAGGAGGAGGAGGAGGAGGAAGAGGAAGAGGATGATGATGATGATGATGATGATGATGATGATGATGATGATGATGATGATGATGATGATGATGATGATGATGATGATGATGATGAGATGATGATGATGATGATGATGATGATGATGATGATGATGATGATGATGATGAGGGAGGAGGAGGAGGAGGAGGAGGAGGAGGAGGAGGATGAGGAGGGGGAGGAGGAGGAGGGGGAGGAGGAGGAGGAGGAGGAGGAGGAGGAGGAGAAGGAGGAGGAGGCGGAGGAGGCGGAGGAAGCGGCGGAGGAGGGGAGGGTGGGAGGGTTGCAGGCACTCTGCGGAGCAGCTGGCCGTCCAAGATGCCCTCGCGCTCCCTCGGAAAGGAGGCCCGCTGGCCCAGCCGAGGGAGCCCTGCCTCTCGGGTGGCGTTCCTCGTCTTCCTCCGTCTTGCTTTCTGCTCTCCCCCTGCATCCCCCCTCGTTCTCCTCATCCATGCCGCTTTGTCCTTCTCCCCCATGCTTACTTCTCCTCCTCCCCCGAATTACGCACTCCCCCCTTCTTCTCCCTCCCCCTCCTCCACCTCTCCTCCGCCTTCCCCTCCGTCTCCTCCGTCCTCTCCTCCTCATCCTCCTGCTTTTCGATTTCTTCTGCTGCCCCCCCTCCGCTCGAGCTCCTCTTGTCCACGTCCCCGAACACGGCCCGATACAGTGGCGCCAAGGGGGGCAAGTATGAGACGGTTGGGACCGGCTTCCCCGAGTGCGAGCCGATCTCGTACCACTGGAGGCAGACGTGCAACAAACCCATCTCGACGGGCTTCGGGAACACGCCGAGCAGTGGCCTCAGAGAGAACAGAGCCGCGACGATGGGCAAGACCCCCTCGATGAACAGGTCTGGCACCGTGAAGTGGAAATTCGTGTGAAGCCCTGGAGCCTTGTGCTCATGGTGGCGCTTGTGGAACCGGCCGTACAGCATTTTTGTGTGCAGGGCTCTGTGGAGGACGTAGACGGCGGCGATTCAAAGATGGGGTCCCGAGAGATGGGGCCCTCCGTCGGCTAGCGCGTGTACCACGAGTTGTATCTTCACTGTTTGATGTTGTCGTCTTCAGGACCCCATCCCTCAGTAGAGGCTTCCTGGATGAGGAGTAGATGGGGTCGGGAGGATCGCGCCACATCGCCGATATATAGCAATGCATCGGCGATGCATCGGCGGTGCACCGGCGACGTCGACGTGAAGCAAATCGGGCTCCACATCGGCGACGCATCTGCGATGCGTCGGCGATGCGGCGCGATCCTCCGACCTCATCTGCTCCGACCCCATCTGGGAGGCCTAGACCCAGGGCCCTCCTGCGGATAGCACACGAGCCACGAGTTGCACCTTCACTGCTTGATGCTGTCGTCCTCCGGGCCCCATCACTTGAGCAGGGACCGACCGTCCCGGCATCTCTATAGTCCTACCACGAATAGTTCTTAGAACCCATGTATGTTCTCTAAGAACAACAAAACGCTCTTAGAGTATGAACCCGATGTGAGAAAACAAGACAGACTCCGCCAGAAATGTTCTAAGAACATTTCGTGGAAGCCACAAATAGTTCTTAGAACACTGTTTGGTAGGGCTATAGGCGAGCCTGGACGCTTCGCCACTGCTTGTGTCACTCAGGGCCCCGCTCTTGAACCGCCGGGGCAGGTGACGTCGGCGACGAGGCGCGCCACCACCAGCTTGACGAGGAAGGGCCCGAGCCGCAGGCGGCGCAGCGAGGCCAACCACGCGCGCGGCGCACGGGCCCCCCCCCCCGCCCGCCGCCCCCGCGCCGCGAGGGCCGACAGCCCCACGGCCAGGACGTGCACCGGCAAGTTGCAGGCCAGCCAGTCTGACAGGACGCCCCGCCAAGTCGGCGGCCTCGCCTGGGGCGCCGGGGCCTGCGGGGCAAGGTTCCGAGGACCCCCTCGCGCCGTGAACAAAATCACGGGCGGGAGGTTTCTCTTTGGGGGGGGCGAAGTTGGGGCTCCCCGGGGGCCCTGACCGGGCCGCGGGACGGACAAAAAACGACTCAGGATTAAAAGCGGGTCCCGGGGAAGGGGTCCCTACACGTCGTTCATTTCTGATCGTGCTCATTTCTAATTCTGCTCGTTTCTAATTGTTCCGGGCCCCCCAGTGGCCAGGAAGAGGCCCAGGATAGAAGAATTGGAAAAGAAAGGGTGTTGCCCCCCAAAAATCAAAGAACTTTCGACGAATACTCAGACATGAACAGTGTGTACCTCTGGGGGTCGCGTCATGAAAAAAGCATGACGTCGGGGGTCTGGGTTAGGGGGGTGGGGGGCCGGCTCGGGCTGTAAGCCTCGGGGCCAGTTCAGGGGGAAGCATCCTCCTGGAATCGCCGCTGCATCGGCGCGTCGGCCCCGACAGCCAATCCTGGGCGGGGTGAGCCCTCGGGCCCCCGTCGGCGATCCATGGGCGATTGGGGGCCGACGCGGCCCCCCCCGAGCCTTTGCCCCTCCCCCCCAAGCGTTGTCCCTGAACGCCGAGAAGGGCGGCACGTGCGCGTAGACCTTGTGGACGAGGACCGCGTGCGCCAGCGTGCAGCCCTCGACGGTCGCCAGACTGGTGGCCAGGGTGCGGAGCGCCGCGCCGCAGGCCGAGCTGTGGTCTGGCGCCGGCACCTGCGAGCGGAGCCAGGCGACGCTTCCGATGCACGCAATCTCGATCAGCCAGGCGACCAGTGGGCGGTCCACGAGGCGCCGCTCGGTGGGTTCGGCCTGGGAGGATCCAGGAGTCGGAGCAGGGCGAGTTGAGACGTCAGCTCGGAATCGGTCCCCGGATCCCCCCCCGGGTCAAAACGTATGAGTTTGCTGAGCTGCGTCCAGCCCTGGCGACGAGGTCCCCCCCACCTCGAAGGCCAACTGCTGCTGCCTCAACTCGCCCTCTTCTGGAGAAGGTGGAGGGTAGAGGCCTCTAAGATGGGGTCGGAGTAGATGGGGTCGGAGGATCGCGCCGCATCGGCGATGCATCGGCGATGCACTGGCGATGTATTGTCGACGTGGGCGATGCATCGGCGACGTCGACGTGAAGCTAATCGAGCTCCACATCCAGCCGCATCGGCGATGCACCGGCGATGCGGCGCGATCCGCCGACCCCATCTGCTCCGACCCCATCTAAGAGGCCCAGACTCATCAGGAGGAGGACGGGAGGGGGTGCAGGGGAGGGCGCCTCCGCCAGCGCCGCGGCGGCCTCGCGTCCACCCTCGGCCCGGGCCTCCGACAGCACCAGCTTGCCGTCGCTCGGACGTCCATTACCCGTGCATTTTTTGGTTCTGGACGTGCTCTTTCTTGCTCGATGGTCCTGGATGGTCCTCGCTGGTCCTCGCCGAGAAAAAATGCGCACGCCCGCGCGATGCCAAGCCAGGGCGGCCCCCCTCGCCCCGCCGCGCGGGGGGCGCCTCCGCCGGCGCCGCGGCGGCCCCGCGCCCAGCCTCCGCCCGGGCCTCCGACAGCACCCGGGCGGCCGCCTCGCCCCGCGGCGCGGGGGAGGCCTCTCGGGAGAGGCAGGGGAGGGCGGCCATGGCGGACGGGGCGCAGGGAGGGGCCTGGGCGGCTGGAGCCAAGACGTGCACACCGAGGGGAGGAGTGGCGAGAAGTTGAGCAGGGGCCGACAGTCCCGGCAGTCCTATAGTCCTACCACGACATGTTCGCAGGACCCAATTAATGCTCTTCTAGGAACAAAAACAATGTTCTTAGAACATGAACCCGCTGAGTGAAAACAAGACAGACTCCGCCAGACATGTTCTAAGAACATGTCGTGGAAACCACAAAAGGTTCTAAGAACATTCTTTGGTAGGGCTATTGGCGAGCCAGGACGCTTCGCCACTGCTTGACATTCGGCTAAGAGCGGGCCCACAAGCTCCCGTTCTCCTCGAGCTCTACCATAGCCTCCACCGCTGGTGATCCCAGGCACGGGGCGTGAGCCAACGTGGGGCCAAGGCAGGCGAGCACACGAGCAGGCGGCAGAGGAGGCGGATGGGGATGCAGGGCGGATGACGAGGAGGAGATGGAGGAGGGGGGAGGACAGGAGCAAGAGCGGAGGAGGAGAGGGAGCAGGAGGAGGAAGCGGAGGCGGCAGTCACATCGGCGCATCATGTGTGCATTCGGGCACTCTTCTTCTCGCCCGGCCAGCGCCTGCTGGATAGTTGGTTTTGAACCGGTTCTACTTGCTTGGGCCCCGGGCCCCCTGTATGGGGCGGGCTGCAGCGGGCGGCGGGGTTGCGCCCCCTAGAGGGGCACGCACCGCCACCCGGAGATACAACGGGCTGAGCAGCAGGGCCGGGAAAAGCCGAGCGAGAACCCCGTGCGACCTGGCGCTGACTGTCACCCTGCTCGCGCCATCATGGCACTGGCAGCGAGCGGCCCCGGCGCCCGCGGTGGGGCCCACGGTGCGGCCGACCCGCCGCATCCGGCAGGGGCCGCAGGCACGCGGTGGCCCTGGCCACCTGCGCGGCGGTGGCGCTGCCCAGGCGCTCCGCGGGCAGCGGGCACACCCGCGGGCTGCGGCGCGGCGGCGTCGAGCCGCGGTTGGCGCGGCCGCGCCCGGCGCACGGCGGCAGGGCGGCGCCGGGGCCGCAGGGCTTCCTGCACGGCGCGGGCCGAGGAGGGGCGCGGCCTCTCGAGAGGCCCTCCTCGCCGAGCCGGTAGCGCGAGCACAGCGCGGCGAGGCCGCCTGGTCCGGGCGCGCCCTCGCTGAAAAACGGCCAGTCGGCGCGGCCAGCGCCAGCCGCAGACCCGCCAGAGTCGAGCCACTGCGACCCAGAATGCCGAAGGCTCGTGTCGCTGAGGGGGCCGCCAAGTGCGCCGCGGGCGCCTGGTCCAGGTGCGCCCTCTCTGGGCGGGCGGTCGGCGCGGCCAGCGCCAGCCAGAGTCCCGCCAGAATCGCGCGACAGCGACCAGGAACTCTGCGGCCGAAGGCTTGTGTCGCCGAGGGTGCCGCCAAGTGCGCCCCGGGCGCCTGGTCCAACCGCGCCTTCGCTCCGCGGCCGGTCGGTGCGGCCAGGGCCAGCCAGAGACCCACCAAAGTCGCGCGACAGCGACCCAGAGCTCTGCGGTCGAGGGCTGCTGTCGCTGAGGGTGCCGCTCGGCGCGCCACGAGCGCCGCAGGCACACTTCAGGCGCGACGCAGCGCGTGCTCGAGCCTCCTTCCAGAGAGCCTCGAACAGGACAAAGCTCCTGAACGACGCATTCGCCGAGCCAAACGCCAGCATGATGTCCACCAGCCGCACCCTGTACACCTGGCTGGCGGTCTGCGCCCGCACGTGCGCGCCGTACTTTGCGTAGAGGCCTTCGGGGAGCAGGCTGCCGGGCATGAGCGCCATCACGGGCCGCTCCTCGAATCCGAGCACCAAGGTGCCGCGCCCGCCGACCAGAACGCCGAAGTGGGGCCCGCAGGGGTCGGAATCGGGCAGCGGGTGCCAAGTGCTGTCCGCCCGCATCTCGATACACTCGGCCTGCAGGTTCACCACGCGCGCGCAGAAGTCCTGCGCCGCGAGGCCAATCCCCAGCGCGCACGCCGGCAGACCGCTGCTGGCCTGCCGCAGGCGCTCCTTGGAGCGGGGCGAATTGAGGCAACGGCAGCTCAAAATCGGCCCCCGGTCCAAGCGCGCCAATTTCCGGAGCTGCGCCCGGCTCTGGCGACGAGGGCCCACCCATCCACCCCCGAGGCCAACCTTGCCGTCGCTCGGACGTCCATTTCCCGTGCATGTTTCGGTTTCGTGCGTGTTTTTGTTTTGCTCGATGGTCCAGGATGGTCCTCGATGGTCTCGCCGAGAAGAAAATGCACACGTCCGAGCGATGCCAAGCAACTGCCGCTGCCTCGGCTCGCCCTCCTCTGAGCTCCTCCTTGAGCAGCTGCAGCGACCTCCGCAGCGGCGAGGCGTCGCGCGAGGAGGCCACCTCGTTGAGCAGGGACCGACCGTCCCGGCATTCCTATAGGCCTACCACGAACTGTTGTCAGAACCCCAAAACTGTTCCAGTAACAAAAACAATGTTCTTAGAACAGAAGCCCGATGCGTTAAAACAAAACAGACCCCCAGCCAGAAAGATTCTGAGAACATCCCGTGGGGACCACAAATGGGTTCTTAGAACATTCTTTGGTGGGACTATAGGCACGCCAGGACTCTTCGCCACTGCTTGAACCTCGCGCACGCCGTCGGCGAGCACCACGAGCGCCCGGCACTCGCTCGCCGCGCGCACGGCGGCGGTGCTCACGGGGAGCAGGCCCAGGACCGCCGCCTCCCCGAGCACGGCGCCGCCGGAGAGGTCGCCGAGCACCCGCCCCTCCCTGGACAGCACCTCCGCGCGGCCCTGCAGGAGGAAGAACATGCGGTCCAGGCTCTCGCCAGCCTGGAGACCGTTTTTTTTTTTGAATCGGCGATCGCCCGGGTTATCCCGGGGGGGGGGGCCGGCCGATAACCTAACCCTCGCGCTGTGGGCAGCCCTGCATATGCCCGCGCCCCTCCTCCCGCGGACCTGCACAACCGGCAAGGTTAGGTTAACCTGGGGTGGGGAGGGGGGGCAAGCCCGATAAACCGGGTTATCGCCCGACCCTAACAAAAACAATCTCCTGGAGCTCATTCTTTCAATACTCGCGATGGCGTTCATTCCCAGCCCCGCCACCCCCCTCCCCCCTATACCTGATTACGTCACGATTCGCGCCGCCTAGGAACTGGCAGCTCCTCAGCATCGCCAGACGCCACGCCAGACGTCACCTGCCCCCCCTGCCCCCCCCCAACCACGCGTGTCATCGCCATGGGATTGGACGCCCGAAATTGGTACACGTCGTTCATTTCTAATCGTGCTCATTTCTAATTGTGCTCGTTTCTAATTGTTCCTGGCCCTCCAGTGGCCAGGAAGAGGCCCAGGGTAGAACAATTAGAAATGCGAGGAACTTGGCCCCCAAAAAATCAAAGAACTCCCGAACATTAGAAATTAACCATGTGTACGAAAAATATGGGCACACTGCCCCAACAACAGATGTTGTCCCAGACCAACAGCGGCCGCCGTTAGGCGGGCGGCCTCTCCTGATTCAAAGGGACACAGACCGCGGCGGCGCGGACAGCGAGCCCTGCTCAAAAGGAACACGAACTGCTGTTGGGCACTGTACCGGGCCGGGCGAAAGGAGGGGATAGCAAAGAGGGGGTTGAGAATCAGCTCGCGTAGCTGATTTTCCCGGCGCCTCCCGGCGCCGGGAGGCGGCCATATATCGAAGAATGGGCCTGGCGGCGGGGCCGAAACCAGCTGCATGCAGCAGATTTCGTACCCCTCCTTTCCCTGCCCCCCCCTGTTGTTCAGCCCGACTGTATCCATTCTTTCCGTACCCATTTCGTTCGTGCCGATGGGATCTAAAATTGCCTCCCGCGAGGTATCAGAGGGTTCTTGTTCGGCCCCTGGGAGGGCCAATTTTTGACACCCCTCACGAGGATCGTGGCCCCCGAGGGGGGGACGAACATCGAGTACCCCCTCTTTTGACCAGCCGCTTCCAAGATGGCCCCTAAGAGGCATTCCGGGGCTCCTAAGAGGCTCCCACGAGGGCCCAAAGAGCGCCCCAAGAGACTCCAAGAGGCCTCCAAGGGGCACCCGAGAGGCCTCCAAGAGGTCCCGAACGGCATCAGAAAACCCAACATGACTTCCAAGATGGCTCAGATAGCCCAAGTTGGCTCAAGATGGCTCCCAAGATGCTCCAAGCGGCCCCGAGACCGCTCCAAGACGGCTCGAGATGACCAAGAAGCCTCCCAAGCCTCCCTCGCTGTTTGACTATGCGTATGTCTTTCTCTCTCCCCCCGTCAACTTTCAGGGGCATCGTTTCTGGATGGGCTGGCGGGGATGCTTTTTTGATCGCGACCGCGAGGGGGCACCCGCGCGGCGTCGAAAGGTCAAGCGAGAGTTGGTGGGGATACTTTTGGTCGCGGCCGCAGGCGAACGCGCCAGCAACGTCAAAGGTCGGGCGGGCTACGCGCGAACCTAATTGCCTAGCGCACTGGGACCGACGGCCGAACCTAAGCTGCGTAAGCTACCTAAGCTGCCGGGCGGCGCGAGGGAGTGCCAGAAAGCGGGGCAGGGCCCGAAACCTTGCCGACGGGCGATGCAAAGTGCAACCAGGACACGGACCCTGGGGCGGTGCCGAACTGGTGTGGATACTTTTGAGTCAGCGGCCGCGGGCGAGCGCGCCGGCGGCGAGCCCAGTCAAAGCGGGGCACGCAGCGACGAATTAACCTAAGGCGACGGAGGGGGGCTGTACCTTCAGCGGCAAACCGAGCCCTCACGCAGCAGCCCAGCGGCGGACCGGCGGGTGGGGGGACAGCTGAAACGGAGTCGCACTGCCAGCGTGCAAATATGCAAAGCGTCGGACACCAGGGAGTCGGGACACACGACGACCCGGGCCAGAAGCCGAGATTAATGTAAGGACGCAGCCCCGGACAACTGCGTGAGTACCAGGGATGGCCCGAAGGACCGTCTGCCAAATAATTAAAGCCAGGAGGCGAGAGCGTTGTCAGGCTGCAAATCCCAGGGTGGCCGTAGCCGCAGATAGTCCCGAGGCATCAGAGCGCACGAGTGCGGGAAGCAGCGGAGATGCGATGCAGCCAAATTGGCGCGGGTCACCGCGAACCAGTGCGTGAAGTGGCGCCACGTTGACCCACACCGGGTCCTGAACCGGGCCACGAGCTCGAAGCCAGCACACAAAGTGGCGACGGGCGGGCGAGAACATCACGGGAAAGACCCAAGCCTGAGCCCAGGGAGCCGGTCACACGTGGTGGGGGCGCACGGGTCAGAGCGGTGCCGGAAACGGCCGCCGGCCCTGTATGGGGAAGGAGTAACCGCGACTTGAACGGCAAAGCGAAGGCCGGTGCGGTGGGGGGACGACGCCACCAACCGACGAAGAGGCCAGACTGGTGTGGATACTTTTTGGTCAGCGGCCGCGGGCGAGCGCGCCGGCGGCGAGCCCAGTCAAAGCGGGGCACGCAGCGACGAATCAACCTAAGGCGACGGAAGGGGGGCTGTACCTTCAGCGGCAAACCGAGCCCTCACGCAGCAGCCCAGCGGCGGACTGGCGGGTGGGGGGACAACTGAAACGGAGTCGCACTGCCAGCGTGCAAAGCGTAGGACACCAAGGAGTCGGGACACACGACGACCCGGGCCAGAAGCCGAGATTACTGCAAGGACGCAACCCCGGACAACTGCGTGAGTACCAGGGATGGCCCGAAGGACCGTCGGCCAAAGAATTAAAGCCAGGAGGCGAGAGCGTTGTCAGGCTGCAAATCCCGGGGTGGCCGTAGCCGCAGATAGTCCCGAGGCATCAGAGCGCACGAGTGCGGGAAGCAGCGCAGCTGCGACGCAGCCAAAATGGCGCGGGTCACCACGAACCAGTGCGTGAAGTGGCGCCAGGTTGACCCACACCGGGTCCTGAACCGGGCCACGAGCTCGAAGCCAGCACACAAAGTGGCGACGGGCGGGCGAGTTTTTTTTGGGGGGTCAAGGATTGTCTCCTGCGCAATGAACTCGCCGGCCCCGTACTTCACCTCGGCCAGCGGGAGCGCCACTCGCTGCACCAACTCCGTGGCCAGCCCGGCAAAGAGGCGGCTGCGGCGCAGGGCGGGCACGACCACCTCGTGCACCCAATCCTGCCGGCACTCCTCGATGCACGCGTTGGCGTCCTGCCGCTCCTCGAAGATGGCCTTGAACAGCCTATGGAGGGGGAGCGGGAGAGGAGGAGGAGGAGGAGGAGGAGGAGGAGGAGGAGGAGGAGGAGGAGGAGGAGGAGGAGGAGGAGGAGGAGGAGGAGGAGGAGAGTCCGTAGCCATTTTGGCTCAAGGGGCCTGCTCCTGAACTTCCCAACCTCTGCTCGAGAGATTGTGGCGTGTGGTGCGGGGCCTTTGAGGCTCTCTGGCCTGGGGTTCGCAACCCCACGTGTGTGCGTAGTGACCTCGGGGCGCATGGCGGTCAAGCCGAATGGCTGGCAGTGCGGCTCGTGCGGCTACTGCAACTTTGGATTTCGTGCGAAGTGCAGGCAGGCAGGTTGTACGGGACCGAACCCGCTCCTGCCCCACAGAGCTCCTCCTGGGCCTGTGCAGCGTCCTCGTGGGAGTTGGGCCAACGGCCCACCTCAGGGGGGCACTCGTGGTGCAGGAGGGCAGGGAGGAGACGGAGGAGGTAATTGGTAGTTAGGCAGGCGCTTGATAAGTTTTTATAAGGGTAAGCTCATCGGGCTCCGCTGAAGAGCTAAGCTGGGGATCACCAATCTCGCGACCGTCAAAGAGTTTCGCGCCGCCCAGTCCGAGGTGGATCGCAAAGCTCAGCTACTGTTGGAAGCTCAAGGGGCCCTGGCCAAGAAAGAAAAAATAATGCTCGGGAAGCGTTTGAGCTGTTGCACAAGCATCGTCTCCAAATCAAGGTCTTAGAGAATGAGGTTAAGGCTGCGCTGGAGGAAGCTCGAGTCGCAGCTGCAGGGACGATCGGGCGGGGAGCGCCCGTTCGCGGCCGTTCCTTCCCAGGGAGCGGCAGCCCTGGCAGCGCAGCTCGACAAGGCGATGGGCGAGGAGCGGAAGGGCTGGCAGCGCGCAGAGGAGGAGGAGGAGGAGGAGGAGGAGGAGGAGGAGGAGGAGGAGGAGGAGGAGGAGCAGGAGGAGGAGGAGGAGGAGGAGGGAGGAGGAGGAGGAGGAGGAGGAGGAGGAGGAGGAAGGAGGAGGAGGAGGAGGAGGAGGAGGAGGAGGGAAGAGGAGGAGGAGGAGGAGGGGGAGGAGGAGGAAGAGGGGCCGCTCAAGGCGCTGCCGGCGGCGCTGCGGCCCCCGGAGCCCGCCGCCAGAGCCCGTCGCCGCTCCCCCCAAAGGCAGGAGGGAGCAGCAGGGAGGAGGAGCAGCTGCAGGAGGTGTCCCAGGTCACCCTTCTGCCTCCTCCTCCTCCTTCCCTCCTCCTCCTCCTCCTCCTCCTCCTCCTCCTCCTCCTCCTCCTCCTCCTCCTCCTCCTCCTCCTCCTCCTCCTCCTCCTCCTCCCCCTCATCCTCCTCCTCTGCAGCACATATTGAGGCTGCTGATTATGATATGGATGGGGATGGTACGTAGGATGTGGAGCACGACTCGTGGGCAGGTGGTGGAGATCCTCGGCCCTGGGCTGACATCGATTCGGGTGCTAAGCGTGCCATCAGCCGTCGCATCTGGGAAGAGATGGGAGAATCGTGCGGGGGTGATCCTGAGCGTCTCGCTTCTCTTGCTGAGCTCAGGGCCACAGTCACCAAGAAGCCTAAGTGTAGTATTTAGCAGGTGGACAACAGTCACAGCAAACGTGAATGCGTATTCTTCACTGCAGCCACTCTTGGTTCATGATAAGTTCAATGAAGCCGATCTTGTTATGATCCAGGAGACTCACCTGTCAGGCCACCGATGCACGGAGTCTGAGGCTGAGTTAGGCAAGCTTGACTGGTGTGCTCGCTCGTCGCCAGCATCGGATGACATCGAAGGCAGTCAGGGGCATGGCGGGCTGATCACCATGCGTCCTCGCATCCATGGCATTGCGACACTGGAGACTATGTCGTCGGAGATCTTGATCCCAGGAAAGGTCACCATGTTGTGCCATTCATGTTTCGCTAAGCACGGCATCCTCATAGTGGATGTCTACATCATCAGTGGTGAGGGTATGGGTCATCGCAACTTCCAGATCTTGATGACTGTGGCGGAACGTCTGCGAGGAGTGAACATACCATACATCATCGGGGGTGACTTTAACTGTACGCCAGATGAGGTACGTGAATCGGGCATTTTGAAGTACGTTGATGCTGATGTGTTTCATCCTGATGTTGCAACGCTCTCGAGCGGACGTACGCTGGATTTCTTTGCTGTGTCACATCAGCTCGTTGTTGAGAAGGTCACGGCTCTGGTCGACGTTCAGATCAGCACCTTCTCCCATGTGCCCGTGCGTCTGCATGTTTCTGGAGGGGCAGTTCGACCACGTGTATCTATCGTGCCAGTGCCTCGTGCCTTTCCTGCGGAGCGTCCTATTGGTTGCCAACGATATGATCACGAGCAAGGATGGATGCCCGTGAGTACGCGTGTTGAATCTCTTCTCCGCCCTGGTGCTGATGGTTCAACCGTTGAGCTCCACCCTGGTGGTGACGGTTCAACCGTTGAGCACGCAGGGGGGCATGGGAGCAGCGGGCAGAAGCGTGTCAGGAACTCACTGGTGCATGGAACGTGTTCATCCTGCAGGCCGAGGTTGAGCTATGCGATGTATATGACGTGGGCAACGATGCTCACAAGTTTCAAGGTCGTCATCAGCCTCTGCGTACCAGGTGGGCGTCTGTGATGGCACCGAAGGTGCCCAAGTTCCCCAAGGCGTCGCCTGAAGCTCTCTGGTTGCGTGCTGTTTCTGTCAGTCTGGTTTTCGCCGCTCGCTTCGTGCAGCCGCCCACGCGTGTCACTGCGCTGCGGGCCTTAGCACGGAAGCAGGAGAATGCACCGGCCAGCGTTCAGACAGGTGGAGGGCCAGCTGGTGAATAGTGGGCCTTCTTCCAGACCTTCGAGGCGGTTTCCTGGGACTGTAGCATTCTGGGGGTATTTGCTCGTATTACCAAAGAAGTGGCCCTCAAGATGGCCAAGCAAGATAAAAAACTACGACAAGCGAAGTTCCGTAAATGGGATGATGAGCAAGCGGTTGGAGGGGCTGGAGGGCTCCACAGGATCACGAAGATCCCGACGGGGTTCAGCGACACTGGCACCGACTCCCTCTATCGGCCCCGAGACCGACAGCAGCAGGTGGATAGGATTCAGGAGGAATGGAGCAGGTGGTGGAGGGTTGGAGAGTGGCATCGCGGCCTCGCCTGGCCTGAGGATCTGGGAGTGCGTCCTGGGCGTCCAAGCGTTGAACACCTCCGCAAAGTGCTGAAAACCTTCCCCAAGCACACTGGTATGGATTTCTGTATGCTTAGACCGCAGCAGATGAACCTGTTGTGCGACCCTGCCCTGGAACATTTTCTGGATGTGCTGATGGCAGTCGAGGCGTCGGCCGAGTGGCCGAAGATTGCTTCCAAGATCGCCTTCCTGTCCAAGCGCCTGGGCGGTGTGCGCCCTATTGTGCTAATTCACATCCTTGCTCGCATTCAAGCGCGACTGCACCGACCGATTGCTCGAGAATGGGAGTCCCGTAATGACCGATCGTACTTCTAGGCCTCCAAAGGGAGATCGTGCGATCGCGCCGTCTGGCAACAGACGGCCTGGTCGGAGTATGTCACCACTAAGGCTAAAGGATCAGCTAAGGGTATGTGGGTCTCTGGTATGATCCTCCTAGACTTGATAAAAGCATTCGAGCAAATGGAACATCACTGGCTCTTAGAAACTGCTGAAATTGTGTCGTCGCCCATGGACGTCGAGCAGACGGCTCTCCCTGGAGACGGCTGGGCAACGTGCATGCTTACGCTCATTGCGATTCGGCCGCTCGATTCTGTGTATCGTTTGCACCGCACGGTCGTTCCCACCATCGTTGTCGACGATGTGTTGCTGCATCGGATTGGCACGCAATCGAGAGTCACACGAGAGTTGGTCCAGGTCCCGCTTGAGTTGCAGGCAGCGCTCGCTGCGGTGGACCTGCGCGTGCATGTTGATAAATCGAGTTTGCTATGCAATGTGCAATGTGTGAGGGATGATATTGCACGACGTCTGCACGCTAGGAAAAGTACGGAAGCTACGCAACACGAGCGGAACCTTTGGATCGATTTTCCCTGTGGGCGGAGAGCTGGGCACGCTGTACGTAAAGAACGCCTTCGGGGTGCGCGAGCGCGTCTACGTCGCATGGGTCTCATCCGCACTGGGAAAAAGAAACGGCTTGCTGTTCGAACGGTTGCACGCTCTGCACCAGAGGCGAGCATGACGTATGGCATGAATGTCACAGAATGTTCCACATCTAACCTTGAGACCATGCGCAGCGCGGCCTTCTTGTCTCACGAGTGCCACAGCTGGCAAATCACGTACGCTAGCGTTGCTGTGCGAGAAGGATGCAAACCCAATTCTCCGCGCCACGCTCTTGCCTGTCCTCACGCTCTGCCGAGCTATGTGGGAGGGGTGGGTGCTGAAGCATGTGATGCGGGTGGGATTGGAAGGTGCTGCAGCCGTCACCTTGTGGACCCAAATGTCTGGTCCGTGTCGTGCGTGTCGGCTTTCGCTGGCTCGAGTTGGGCGGTCAATGCGCCCCGCCTTCTGCTGGACCACCCACGGCGGCCTCGATTCAGATGTACCCGAGCTGTGTCCCGCAGTGATTCGCCATCACCTGGCGCAAGCTGCCACGGCCTGGCAATGGCGACAGGTGGCGAAGCACGAACGCTTGAAGCATCTCGAGTTCGGTGCCGTTTGGTTGCCCTTGGTCCAGCGGTCTCTGGTGGACGGCCTCGGTGCGGGGGAACATCGTGACCTCCCGACTCCGGGGCCAGACGCTCGTGCGTATTCGAAGTCGTGTCTAGGGAACGGCCAACGGCCCATGGGCTAGAACGTTTGAGGCGCGAGAAGCCACGACCGACGAATGCCTGGTGTGCAAGCGACCTGGCGCGCTGGTGCATTTTGAGTGCGGGTTGTGCCGTGAGCTGCCGTGCCCTAGTGCGTTTGGCCCGCCGGTCCAAGCTCAGGACAGGCCCCAGGCCCGTGTGCTGCTGGAAAGGGCGCTTTGGCCCATCCCTCGGACCTCGTGGAGGGCCCCTGCCCAGGACGCCTGCCCATCCTTCGACGATGAGCAGGGCCCCTGCCCTGCTCATCGTCGAACTCTTTGACGTCTGAGCGTCCCTTCTTCCTCTCGGCCGTCCCCCTCCCGTCTCTTTGCCCGCCGGCCAATTCGCTAGTGAGTGCCCCTTTCTAGCTACTCGCTGGAGCGGAGTTCGCTGCCTCGCCGCTGACGAGAAATGTTTGGTGATACGCGAGCAGCGAAGCGCAAACCAATCTAAACATGATTCCCCACCTGGCGGGTTGAAACAAATCTCTCGAGCCGCCTCGCACACCCTGCGTACCGCTGCAGCCATGCCCAAAGTGTGCCGGTGCTCCATGGGGATCCCGCCTCGTATCTTCGACGAGTGAGGAGTGCACACCGCGGCGGCAGGGCCCGAAGTTTGCCGATGCTTCCTGTAGGGATCCCGCCTCGCGTTCTCGGGTGGGAATCGCTCGACGAAAAACAAATGTTGCTGCTGTTGCTACTGCTTGTCCTCACGACGTCCAGAGTATGACAGCACATGGGGGAGCACGAAGATGCTGCGGCTTGGGCACAGACGCCCCCCACATGGTCTTGACTGGCCTCAAAAGGCCCCCCGTCTAGTCCGGGGCGGTCTCAACACCCAGTGGCGCGGAGCTTCCCAGGGGCGCCGCCGGAAGCGGCGCACCCGCCCCAGACTACTCGGGGGGCGTGCTGAGGCCGGCCGTGACTGTCTGAGGGGGCTGCCTATATGCGCAACCCGAAGCCTCACCAACGCCTGGAGTCTGAGGCCACATAGGAGGCGGCTTCTGGAACACAATTCGGTTCTCCGGCGGTCGTTCGGGACCACCCAGGCACCCCCGTACG